AAAACTTGTCAAATACCCTATTACACAAATTCGTTCATTAGGTATAGCCCAGAGTGGTTGCTGGGGTTGTTTTGACGAGTTCAACCGCATCAACATCGAGGTGTTGTCTGTGGTCGCGCAACAAATCCTGGCCGTGCTGCTGGCGCTCTCGCTCTTCCAGAAGAAGTTCATGTTCGAAGGAAGCGAGATCAAGCTAGACAGCAACTGTGGTATCTTCATAACGATGAATCCTGGGTACGAAACCATAAATGTACCCATCTTTTCGTCTTAAGTCTTTCTAGTGGTAGATATTGAGATGCAGTCTTTCATAATGTTACCTCCGTAAGCAAGAGTTGTAATTCAAGTAGGTTTTCGGCAAAGAAAGCATTTCTTACAACAAATTTGTAACCGTTGTGTCATATGTTTTTGATTCGTGATTTAGCTTCAGCACCTTTGCCCTAGTGATACTTATTATTTTTCATCTTCTTAGGCTTATTCTAATAATATAACACTTCCCATTACCTAGCTACGCTGGTCGTACGGAGTTACCTGATAACTTGAAGTCGATGTTCCGGCCTATAGCTATGTGCGTTCCAGATTGCCTAATCATAGCCGAAAATACTCTGTTCTCAGATGGCTTCACTGCTTATAAGATCAATGCTAAAAAGGTAAACATTTAGTTCTAATACAGCTCTTTTATGTATTCCAATTTTTTGTTTTTATTTTAGAAGAAGATCCTAGCTGAAGGTAGGATTATACCCCAACTGATGATAAATACAGGGTGGTCCATCTAGTGACGACAACATTTTTTTTTAAAAAATTTAATAATGTTTCAATGATTTTTAGCCTATCCGCCTTCAAAAGCCAATTACAACAAAAATAGGCTGACTAAGTACCTTTTTTTATGATTTTTGGTAGTTTAGAAGCTTGCGGAGTTTTTAATTTTAGCCAGAATCTATGGAATTTCCTTTTTGTATTTTTGTAATGAAGTTGAACGTTTCAGTAAATCCTACTAAAAACTAAAGATCCAACTCTCAAGCCTTTTTTGAGTAATTTTAAGTAATTGCAGGAAGTTGTTTTTTTTTTATTAAAACAACATTCAAGACAATTATGTCACAAAAAAAGACTGCAAAATACCTACAACGAAAAAAGATAAGAATTTTTGAAACCTCGAAATATAACTCGAAAACTAAGAAAAATCGCGGAACATACATGGAGTATTTTCGGATACCCCAGGTGCGAGGAATCTAAAAAAAAATTGTTGACGTCAATAGTTGGACCATCCTGAATAGCTATTTAGAATGGCAGCTGCACTATCATCCACCTTGCAACACGCTTTTTCACTACTTTTCTAAGACAAACAAACTACTATTAAATATATACTAAAATATGATTAACAAGTAGAAGATGGACTAGGAAATATTTATTTTTAGGTATTCACGCTATACCAGTTGGCGACTCAACAGTTGTCCAAGCAGGATCATTATGATTTCGGTCTTCGTTCAATGGTTGCTTTGTTGCGATACGCTGGAGTGAAGAGAAGAGCTTACCCCCATTTGCCTGAGCAAGAGGTTGGTAATATAGAATTAATCATCGTCTTTCTTTCTTAAATTCTAAAGTTTTTACGTGACTATGGTCGCACACAAGCGTGTAGCGCGTCTGATGGTTAACGGCTTCCATAGTCTGTAAACGCTTGCTTTTCATATGGTATCACTCGTGCTTTGCCTATCTTAACCTTATCTCCAACTCTGTGAAGCACTTGAATAATACTCACCGTGAGTCCACCCAAATTTACTGTTACTTCACTGTGGTCTTCTGTAAGGTGGAGATTATTTCTTCAAACAAACACTCCAGTTAGTCTCTGAGTTAAGGTAAGTTTCAATAAGTCTTATGCAGTTGTCGAATCTTCCTTTACAATTTCGAATTTCAGATGGTAATTTTAGCTATGCGCGACATGAATGTAGCTCGTTTGACTGCTAAAGACGTTCCCTTATTTGAGGGCATAATGCAAGATATCTTCCCTGATGTGGAGGTGCCAACGCTGGACTATGAGATGCTAGAGACTGCGATATCAGCCGAAATGAGACTAGTTGGCCTGCAGCCTACGAGAGCTGCGCTCTTAAAAGTCATACAAACGTTTGAAACTAAGGTATATCAAGTTCCAAATTTAAGTCTTAATAACAAAATTTATGCAATAAAAAAATGTACTTATAATATTGGATAAGATGTCTCCATTGTTAAAACGTTTTAGTAAGTATTTTTATAAAAACGGCGTAACAAGTTTTGGGTATATTGTACTTATTTTACGAGCACAGCTAAATAAGCGTTGAAAAAGCTATCGGGCTATTCAAACCTGTTGTTATACTACCAATTTGAATGTAAACTTTATAATTTGAATAAATTCAAGGAACTTGAGTCTAAAGACCTTTTTTTCTGAAATAATTCAACTCAGTGAAGGTTTCAGGCAGGACTCGAACCTGCGTCTTCGGCTGTCCGGGCGGATGCACTAATCGCTATGCTACCGAGACTTGAATGATTGTGACGAATTTCGTCTAACATTTCTTAAGCTTACAAAAGGCAAAGCTATTCCTTCTTCTCCTTTTAAATTTTCTTTAGATTAATAAATCGAGCAGATTAATGCTTTAAATTAAAGATACAATTAATTTAAGAGTATTAACATTATTAGGCTAGTATCTATGGGATTGCAATTGATTCAATTCTTGCCAGAATTCCCGACACTCGAGCATCCTACTTGGCGACACGAACACAGCCAAGTCTGTCTCTTGGAAGATGTTAGCTGCGACTTTGAGCCGTCTGCACCGGGAGAAAGTGCCCGGGTTCGAACTCGTACAAATCCACGCGATGAACCCTAAAGCTTTGACTTTGGGCGAACTGTATGGGGAATATAATTTGGGCACAGGCGAATGGAAGGACGGTGTGCTTTCGTCAATCATGAGGACCACTTGTCAAGGTATGTAAATCGGTATTTTGAAACTTTATGGCGTTGATTTTGAGATTAATTTTTCTATATTTCATATACTACTATATCCAGATTTTTTTTTGGGTATTTTTCCTATTATGAATGTTAATCGAGCGCGCTTAATTAGTTTCGCAATGTCCATTGGTTCCTATCATTTTGTGAAATTAAAGAAGTTATCTACATTGTTCTCACTTATTCCTTCAGACGAATCTCCGGATCTAAAATGGATCATATTTGACGGTCCAGTAGACGCAATTTGGATTGAGAATCTCAACTCTGTGATGGACGACAATAAGTTGTTAACTTTGGTGAATAGCGAAAGGATTTCTATGCCCTCACAGGTGACGTAATGGTCCAACTTACAATACAGACTATTATGGTCATTTAACATTTCTACGAATATTTTTCAAATGATCATTTTAAAAAAAATACCTAATCATAACGATTGATTCAATCATGAAGTTGTTTCGGCGTCCTGAAACCTTCATTCTCTCGGATTTGTGGGATTCTTATTCTTATTAAGAAACTCTCATAGTATCACACGCATATAGTAAAAAGCTTACCTTTATTCAAATTAACGAGATTATCATAATCATCATCATCACCATCAGCCTATTAATGTCCCCACTGCTGAGGCACAGGCCTTCCCTATGGATCGAATAGGTAGATTGGGCCATGACCCACCACGCGAGCCCAGTGCGGATTGGTGGGTGCTGACGACTGCAGATGCAGCCGGGACCAACGGCTTAACGTACCTTCCGAAGCTCGGAGGAGCTCGAGATAGTAAATTTTTGGTCACCACTGCGATAGTTGCTAACTTCAACGCTCGCAGCCGAACGCACTAACCACTTGCGCCATCGAGCTCCATCTAACGAGATTATAATTTTCATTAAGTACATTTTTCTTTTGTTGTAATACGCACAAAACAGTAGATCTGATAGGGGCCTTAGTCATACAGTTCGTATCCTGTACAAAAGTTTGGGTCTAAATTACTTCATTTCCCATGGTATCAGGTATCGCTGCTTATCGAAACACTCGATTTATCCGTGGCCTCACCCGCTACGGTTTCTCGTAACGGCATGGTGTACAATGATTATAAAGACTGGGGCTGGTGGCCCTTCGTCAACTCCTGGTTGGAAACCGTCGAAGACATTGAGTATAGGGAGATGGTACGTATTGGAAAACAAACAATGCTCATCATCATCATCAGCAGCAAATGGACGTCCATTGCTGGACATAGGCCTTCACGATCCTGCGCTCTCCGCATCCAGTGGGTCCTCCCAACTCGCTTGATGTCGCCAGTGCACCTCGTGAGGGGTCTACCGACACTGTGCTTCACGGTGCGAAGTCGCCAATGAAGCTTCTTGGGACCCCAACGTTCATCGGTTCGCCGAGCTATGTACCCCGCCCATTGCCACTTTAGCTTGGCGATTCGTTGAGCTATGTCGGTTGTTCTAGTTCTTCTACGAATGCTCTTAACATGTTTAATATATCCTTTCTGAAGTGAAACAGCTGCTGGTGTGAGAGCTCGAAATTTTCATGATAGTACGTAAAACGGTGTGTCAGACCGACTGTTATTAGCGTGTCACGCCAACAGTCAACGCAGATGTGAAATAATGAATACAACTATTACCGAAGTTACTGCTTAATAGAATATAGTTATCTCAATAAAACATCTATTTAATAAATATTAATTGATTATTTGACGACCTCCGTGGTCGAGTTGTTTGTACGCCGTGTTTCATGGTGTCGCCGACTCGAGAGGTCCCGGGCTCGAATCCCGGTGGGGGCAGATGTTTGTGTGATGAATACAAGCATTTGTACTCCAGTCATGGATGTTTAATATGTATTTCTATATAAATATACTTATATTATGTACTGTATATGTATTCTATCCGTTACCCTAGCATCCCATAACACAAGTCTTACAGTGCTTACTTTGGGGCTAGGCTAATTGGTGTGAACGTTGGAAATATTTATTTATTTTTATTTATTTATTAATGAATAATAAATAGACAGTCATATTTTCTTGACATTTTATGCAACATTTATTTCCTGTCGTAAACGATTCCTTTGTGCCATATTACTTGGACATAGTAATTTGCATTATTCATATTATTGACATGCCGCGACAACTCTAAATTTTTTTTGCTACTGTATGCATATTGTATAGGACTATAGACTCTGTCATTATTATCTAATTAAAGTCTTTTGCTGCATTTTCGTCTGTGTCTGTTCTCGTAGCTTCGTCGTCATTTCCTGAACATTCTTACTCCGGTATTGGAGTTGAAGCGCTTACATCTGGTGGAAGGCCATAGTGTGCGAGGGCAAGAACTGACCGGAGTGCGTTCAATGTGCCGCCTTCTGGGGCAATGGCCTGCACCTTCGGCCCCTGGACCTGACGAGGAGGACAATGAGACTTTCTCTAAGATGCGATTCCTGTTTGCGTAAGTGTTTTGTTCAACGAATTATATTAGACTAGCGGCCCGCCCTCGCTTCACTTCGGTGTAGAGCTGGAGTGTAGAATACAGTTTTTGTTCTCAGGCTTGTATTATACACAATGACATTCATCTATGATTCTTCTTATACGCATGCATAGTCTCAGCCCGATCGGTTTAAAATTGACAAAGTTTCATACAAACTTTCATTCCGTATTTTATCCCCTTGCTGGTAGAATTGATCAAAATCCTTTCTTAGCAGATGCCTACGTCATAACATCTACCTGCATGCCAAATTTCAGCTGTGCGTTGATAGATCACTATGTCAGTCAGTCAATTTTGAGTTTTATATATATAGAAGATTTGCCTCAATAATACCTTCTCCGAAATGCGAAGGGGTCTGAAGAAGCTGAAGCAGTTCAAAAAACTGTCGCGATTATATGCCTTGCAGACGTAGATCATTTAGAGATGGGGAGAGAAGGAGTTTTCACTGCCGCATGTAAAGTATAATAAACAACTTGATCTGCAGGACCATAAAGTATACAGTGTAGGATAAATTTAGTAACTTGCGAATAGTTCTTATGAAAATAACGTTTGTAGCATGATCTGGTCGATTTGCGCCACCCTCGAAGAAGAGCCTCGTCGCCGCCTGGACAACTGGGTTCGTGAGCATGAAGGAGTATTTCCTCTGAAGGACACCGTCTACGATTACTACGTTGACGAGCGGCTGAGGCAGTTCAGGCCCTGGGAGGATAAACTGCCTGATAACTGGAAGTATAACCCCAAGTAAGAAATCAGCAGATAACAATGGTAGAAATGCTGTGAGAATACAATTTTTATTAGTAAATTTAGTGGTTTTTTGACACTTTCTTTTTATTTACCTTATTTATTTTGTATGTATTTTAAATTTTGTTATCCAAAACCTGTGGTAGAACATGTAAGCCGTGTAGATTTACTATTTTTGTAAGAGTGTCACGCTTTACCACTTTTGAAGTCGAAATTTTCACATTGCTTGTAAATATAATATTTGTTTTAAGGAGCTCGATGAGCTGAGCGACTTGCGAGTTCGATTTGCGATCGGGGAAGTAAAACTTTAAACTTTCGCAATTTAATTTAATTAGGACGAGTCCTATGGATTACCCTTATGAAATTCCACGACTGCAAACCGAAATTTCATCTGTTCTTTTTTTTATTTATTTTTTTTAGAAACCAGCTGCGTTACAAAGTATATATGCATACCCACACGAGTCTAAAGTATAATCTTAAAGTAAAGCTAATTACAGGTTTGGGGCTGTTCAAGTATTACGTAAGCACTATAGGGGGGCAGGGGGGTCTTTTTGATGATATGGGGGGAGAGGGGTAGAGATGGTGATTACGTCAGCATCATCGATTAAGCCTTTTTAAGTACTGCTGCTCATGAAGCTCATGAAAGCTCATGAATCAATAAAAAAAACAGAATACATTAAAGGAAAAATGCATATAGGTACCAATGTTTACGTAAGCATGAGGGGGAGGGGTAAGAGCTTTGCTTACTTTTGCTGACGAGGGGGAGGAGGGGGTAAATAATTGTAATAAATCTGCTTACGTAATACTTGAACGGCCCCTTTCCTCTAAATACATCATTATTTGTTTAGGCATATGTAACTCATGACATTGTTTTTAAAAAAAACTTTAACTATGATATTCAATTAAATCGAAAATCTAATAAGACAAAAAAGATCAACTAATTGCCTTCGTTCGCAGACATTGGGATCAAAGATACCCTTCAATCATTAAGGTTTTTGCAAAACTTATACTTAAATAAATTAAACAATGGAAATAATCAAATGTAACTTATATAAAATAATATAAATAAATAATGTATTGGAAAGAATCATAAGCATTGATCCACCACCAGAGTAAGCATTCGTGTTATGGAGATTAAATTCAACACAGTACAGTGAACAGTTCTAAAATATAATACCTATATCCTTAATTTTAGGTGTATTTGTATCATTCTTGTAGTTCTGCTTATTAATTTATTTATTTTATCATCTATTCTCTTTTATTAAATTCTGTTACTTGTTTTCCCATAATTTGGCCAACTAAAACAATGAAACGTAATTTGACTATTTTTACTCTTAATCCTACTAGTCTCGGGTTCCACAACATCCTGGTTCCGACGGTGGAGTTCATCCGGGTGCAACTGGTCGCGCTTGACATGTTAAAGGCGGGATATGGTGTCTTAGTCGGCGGTCCCACGGGAACTGGGAAGACGTTTCTGATACAGGGGACTCTTTCCAATCTGGATCCAACCAAGTAATGTTCTTGAGTGGTTCCAGGGCCCAAAAGTAAAAACTTCACAGTTTTGTTGGTTGTAATTTCGCATTTTTGTTGTTAAAAAGGTTTCTGTTAACCACATTATTAAAAAAAATGTCACACTTATGCACTGGTAGTTTATTAGAAAAAAATATTGAAAATTTTTACTTTTCTTATCAAGTGATGATACTTCACACTAGGTTAGGTTAAGTTAGTGTTGTAACTACAACGCGCGAGCCGAGCGAGCAAAGCGAGCGTGTCGCGGCAGCGGCCGGCGAAGCGCCAGAAAAAAAATCTGTTAAAAATACCTTTTCTACAACAAAAAAACAAGTATCACCTTTTGGGCCCTGGAAGTACAGTTTTACCTTCTTGAGCATGGTTATACGTACGTAGGTATATTCTCTTAATAAAATTATCACCGTCTTTAATTATACTATCTGGTTGATACCTTTTCACCGTTTATAATTATACTCTTGCTATATATATGTTGTAGATTCAAACGGATTTGATTCAATAATTTCTTCATCGCAGTCCGCCATGTTGTTTTCTTATCGATCAGTGCGCAAGTCCGGCGTGGGCGCTGTCTCGAGAGCAAGAGAGCTCCTCGATCAAACGCACTACTGACACATACGAAGTTGACACTGACATTGGGTGCGGCCAGAGTGCACTCAGATTCAGAGTCAGATTCAGATTCTGAAAACAAGCGCGAGAAATAAACAGTGTAGTCTAAGCAGGTTGCCTGCTTTTTCTCGCGCTTTGTTTTCTGAGTCTGAATCTGAATCTGAATCAGGAGTGCAATCTGGCCGTACCCTTCGACTACACTGTTTATTTCTCGCGCTTGTTTTCGAAATCTGAATCTGAATCTGAATCTGAGTGCACTCTGGCCGCACCCATTGACTTTGAAAACGTCACTCACGTCATTCAGTTACGTCACAGACAAAAGTGTGGCCATCTGAATAATGTAATAAGTTACTAAAACTATCGATATCTCACCGATGTGTTATTAAACCATAATCTCCGACATATATATATTTATATATGATGACAGGTACAGCACTCAGGTCATAAATATGTCGGCGCAGACGACGGCTGCTAACGTTCAAGACATCATCGAGTCTAGACTGGAGAAGCGAACCAAGGGGAATTATGTGCCCGCAGGAGGTGATTAATCTACTTTTGTTGTTTATATTACATATATATATACAACGGTTTGGTACAATTTTTAGTTTTTATGGATCTTCAAGAACTTTCCGGCTCCAACGTCCATCAGTTCTGCGGCTAATGTGACCAGCCCACTGCCACTTCAGTTTGCTAATTCTTGAGTGGAGACCGCGACTCGGTAAACGTAGTGTAGGACGCCCTGAGACAGGATAGGATGATGATATTCGTAGGCTGGCTGGAGTGGGCTGGATGAGAGTAGCACAAAATCGAGAGCAGTGGCGTGCATTAGGGGTGACCTATGTCCAGCAGTGGACGAACATGGGTTGATGATGATGTTGGTAATGATGGATCTTCATGGATCATGGTGAGTAGCAGGGGTAGAAAATAATTTTCCTCCAAAGGAAAGAAAAATATAACAAATAGGTATTCAGTTTTAGATCTGGTTTAACTTCAGCCAACAATATTTTAAATGGCGGTGTATTATATGTCGTCGCCCGTTTGTTGAATTTTGTCAGATTTTTTTCAGATTCCTTAAGAATAAGGATTTGAAGAAATAATCATTAGGTTTATTAAAACATGTGATTTTAAGGTTATTCAGAGCTCGAAAAGTGGTGAAAATGTAATACAGATTAGATTCAATGTTTCAACCATGGTCATTTCGAGTCTAACCATGAAGCGAGTATCCGCAGCATGTCAATTGATAACCCTAGGAATTTTACGATCTGGTGACTTAGAAATACGATCAGTCCCGAAAAGCGTGAGCACCACAATTTACATTATATCACGTTTTTATCACGTCTAACTGTCAAACTCCATGGTAATTTGACAATTGAGCGTGATTAAAACGTGTTGTATATCATATCAAGGTGCTCAGGGGGGTAAGGACTGTGAGGTAGCTACATATTGGTGTCGATTCTGACATGATTCTCTAAACCTAAACTTAAATTTGACAGCAGTATATCCTTGTCGTTCTCTATACAGAATCAAAAGGAGAGACTGATGTTAAATTTAGTTTTAAGTTTAGAGAATCACGCCAGAATTGGCATCATTATCGCGAATTGGCTTTCTATTGCCTAATAGAAAGCGAATATGAAGGAATAGCCCTATTAGAACGATGCCAAAGACTGTCAGAATGCAATAAGTTAGTAATTTAAAAACTTATAAAACCAACCTGGGTACGCAGAGTGTTTTAAATAGGATTTGTGAAGAACATAATAAAATCTGTACTGGGTCCTTGGTAGGCGTTGATTTGTTCGCTGCGTCATTGATTGCATTTGGGAGGGCTTTGCTATCGAGCATTGATTGTGGCACTTGATTATAGTTTAGTTTTATGTATGTTTTTTTTTATACCTAGTTTAGTTTTATATCATTAATTTTGACAGAAATAAGAGTTGTGTATGCCTGTAACTGTTTTTGCACAACTTTATGTATAACGTATGTTTTTTTTAATTATGTTGGGTGTAAAAATGTTGGCATGCCTGATAAATAAATAAATTTATTTATGTAAGGCAAGAAGATGATAGCGTTCATGGATGACATCAACATGCCGGTGCGCGACTACTACGGCTCGCAGCCGCCGTTAGAGTTGGTCCGCCTGTGGCACGACTACGGCTTTTGGTTCGACCGGGCTAAACAGTGGCGGAAGAACGTCAAGGTGAGTTTTTGTTGTTGTGTTTTATACTGGACTAGCGGCCCGCCCTCGCTTCGCTTCGGTGTAGAGCTGAAGTGTCGACTACAGGTTTTGTTCTCAGGCTTGTCTTATACACAATGACATTCATCTATGATTCTTCTTATAGCTGCATGCAAAGTCTCAGCCCGATCGGTTTAAAATTGACAAAGTTTCATACGAACTTTCATTCCCTATTTTATCCCCTTGGGGGTAGAATTGATCAAAATCCTTTCTTAGCGGATGCCTACGGCATAACATCTACCTGTATACCAAATTTCAACCCGATCCGTCCAGTGGTTTGGGCTGTGCGTTGATAGATCATTAGCTCAGTCAGTCACCTTTGAGTTTTATATATAAAGATTTAGGGAAATTTTCAAAATTTAAATCTCAAAAAAAAGGAAAATAGAGGAATGTATAACAAGTGTCGATATTGTTTTTTTGTCTGACAACAAACAAAAAACCGGCGCATTGCAAATACCTTAAGATCTATTCAAACTCTCCACCAAATGTATTAGCTGTAGATGTTCCGGGAAAAAAATCAAAATAAAGGTTATCTTAATATTAGATTTAAAATAACGCATGCCTGGGATTGTAATCCCATCCCATCTAAATTGTAATTTAGAGGTTCTTTTCCTAACGTTAACGATCTGTCATCTGTCAAGTGTATTGAAACATCAAATTTTCACATAATAAAACGTCAACCATCGTAATGATGAGATGGAACAGTAACTGGGATGTTCCTTCTCCGCTGCCCCCTTTTTTATGATAATAATTAAATCTATTAGGAAATTTTGTGTTAACATTTTGATGATTACTACCTTACTCCGCAAGGTATTATTATCAGCATGGGCATGGTCTTCTGCGCCCGCAGGTCTGGCTTCCCAGCCAGTGCAGCATTTTAAGATATTGTATATTCTCTATACCTTGACTTAAATTTGACAACAGTTTATCCTTGTCATTCGCTATACAGGATGAAAAGGAGAGACTAATTTTAAAATAAGTTTTAAGTTTAGAAAATCATGCCAGAATCGACACCAATATCTGTCGTGCGGATCATACCGATCTATAGTAAACCCCACAAAGTGGCCGGGGTAAAGCACGAGGTGAACCCACGATTTTGTGAAGGTCGCGCGAAGCTGATGGATATAAGTGGCGCAGGACCGATCCTTGGGCAGGCCTATGCCTATGCGGCTGATATGATGATGACGAAATCCCACATGCCGCAAGGGATTTTTGGCGTAAATACGGGTTATATGAAAGACAATCCCACTCTTTAATCTCTCTCCCCCCGGAGAGTCCATTCCCCTGTCTTCCCGCGATTGCAGTAATAATTTCAAGCGTTCAACCTGACGACACCAGCGCAGCAGCAGCTCGTACAATATCTTGATATTGTATTTAATGGTCTTTCCTCCCATGTGTTTCTCCCGTGCGCTTAAGAATACGGCGACGGCGACAACAACTGTCTTACAGAACATTCTGATGTTAAGTTAACCCCACAAGGTTGACCGACGATCAAGTAAAGGTCGCGGAATGTTGTGGAGATCCTTGGTGGAGGCTTATGATCAGTAATGAGCGTCGTATGGCTGATATGGTGATGAAATGCTCGAAATAGGCGAGAAAACGTTAATGTATGGTATTGTGGAGCGACGGGTCCCTCCGGAGGAGCCCCCCCCCCGCGGCTCTTGTCTTCCTTCCATGCGCTGTATCTGACGGCGCTGAAGCAGCAGCAGCTCGTCAAGATATTGTATTCGATGGTCTATCTTCCCATGTGTCCCTTCCCGTGCGGTTAAGATCGTCTGCGACAATGTCTGTGTTCCAGAACATTCTGATGTTAAATAGACCCCGCAAGGTGGACCGATGATCTAGTAAAGTTCGCGAACAACCGTGGAGATTCTTGAGGGAGGCCTATGTTCAACAGAGTGGGCATCGTACGGCAGACATGTTGATTACGAAACCCCAAACCTCGCAAGGGATTCTTAGCGTGAAATCGTATTATATGAAAGATGATCCCATTGTTTAGGGCATGGTTCTCTGTGGGGCAGCGGGTCCCCCCGGGGGAGCTCGTTCCCCCCTCCCCCCGCGGCTGCTGTCTTGCTTTCACGCGCTGTATCTGACGGCGCCGGCGCAGCAGCAACTCGTCAAGATATTCGGCACCATGCTCTCACAACACCTGAGCGACTTCGACGAGGAGACCAAGACTGTCGGTGAGTACTAACAAAGAATTAGGAATAATTAATGATTCAGTGTGCAAATTAAGTTTTTTAATCTTAATGAAAGAAACATACGATCGTCAAAGGATCTATAAAAATAAATGTCAATCACTAATAATTAATATCAGTTTTGATGTAAAATAAAGATACACAGGATTCTGATCAGCATTCGGGTTATGTCTATTAACGAAGGAGATTTTAGGCGGACCCTACAGCTAGGAGATTCGGAACTAAATATGTAGAACTTTACTTATGACCGCTTTAAAACTTCATATCAAATGCTTAACTTATATCAGTGCCTTTATTTAGACTCAACATTTTTGGGTTAGCCAACGAATTAAAAATGTTATAGGTAAAACAGTGCTATTGGCGACCATCGACATATTCAACAATATTGTGGCCAAGTTATTGCCCACGCCAAGCAAGATGCACTACCTGTTCAACTTGAGAGATATATCGAAAATTTTCCAGGTAAATGACACATCATTTTATTTATTTTATTTGTATTTATACTGTATGACACAGCAATCAAATGCAGGTAAACAATTAATGTATATTGAATCAATATGTAATGAATGGTGACTTCATGAATCATCTCTGAAGTCATTTTTCAACTTGACGACTCTGTAAATAATAAAACAGGAAGAAAAAAATAGCCATTCCTGAGTTTCTTGCCGGTTCTTATAAGTTCAAGGTCTCCCGTCGTAGATTTACGAACCGATGGCGTAGCTTCTGAACATTCATGAGTGCTTCATGAGTGCCTAAACTGAATAAATGATTTTGATTCTTATTATGATTTACGTAATGCTTTATAAGTACTTTATTCAACATGGCTTATTATATTTTATATATTTAAATGTAGGGCTTATTACGGAGTAATAAAGACTACACGAACACAAAAGCGAGGTTCCTGCGACTGTGGATACACGAATGTTTCCGAGTGTTCTGCGATCGACTCATCGACGATAAGTATGGAATTTATATTATGACGATTTTTGCGATCATATTGTATTGGACGCTTCGAACTTCGAGGAGTTTCTGTCGTCGCTCATTGGATGTGTGATCAAAAATCAAATAACTATCTCAGCTCCTCCGTGCTTCCGAAAGCATATTAAGCCGTTGGTCTCGGCTGCATCTGCAGTCTTTAGCAGCCGCCACTCTCACTGATCTCTCGTCCGTCCGGTCGTGCACGCCAGCAATGGGGGGAGGGGGGGGGGGGGGTCAGGGTGGTCATATGCTTGTTTTGCCCTCATTTAGCATTAAGAAATATTCGTTAAATTTTTGAGAATCTTGATATTACTATTTCTTGTAAAGGTATTTATTTGACATTGTGGGTTACCTATAAAGCGAATAGAAAGCGCTGCCTTGCAACCTAAGGGCTAGAGAAAATTCGACACGACCATCAGGGCCGTGGTAGGTAGATTCGAGTCCCGTCTGCTGACTGGTCCGTGTGGAATTTTTTCCTGTATATTTTTTTTAGATTTAAATCTCAATGTGTTTAGGGATCGCGACTGGTTCATGAACAACATGGGCGACATACTGGGCAAGCACTTTGAGCTCACGTTCCACGCGCTCTGCCCGTCCAAGAGTCCGCCTCTGTTCGGGCACTTCCTCAACCCGTTCGAGGTGTACGACGACCTCAACGACCCTGTCGCCTTGAGGAAGTTAGTCACTTTACAAAATTTCCACTTGTTGGGCTAGTTAGCCCAAAAAAATCCTTTTCCAAAAATCCAAGTAGTTACTTGGATCACCTAGTTTGATTAGTTTGACTGCAAGGATTTATTTATTTTTTATTTAGCCAGGTAGGCAAATGACTCTACCTCACCTGATGTTAAGTGGTGATAATGTCTAAACACGAAGATAGCTGGTACAGCAGTTATAAACTGCCACACCAACCATCCTCACCTTGCCGGCCTGCAAAAATGCTTCTTCACGCCTCCCTTAAAGGACCCCAGATTGTAGAAAGGAGGAACATTTGCGCTAGCAAAGGATTCCACTTAAGAATAGTACGACAAAGAAATGAGTCACCCTTTGTTCGCATAGGAATAGTGGCCACAGTCCTCTGAAGAAAAGTTGATGGAGGGATAAGGGAGAATAACTCCACAGAACACTCGTCGTGGTATAGTCGGTAGAATGCGCTTAATGATACCACAAATTATTTCTGTTGTAGGTACACTGGTAGACTAGAAAGTTTGATCACTAGGAAGAACATGTTTATAGCACAATACAACAACACCACCAAAACTACAACAACTACTACAAGATCCTACTACTACTTACTATAAATGTAAAAGTTTCTATGTTTGTAACTCAATCACGCAAAAACAATTCCCCGGCTTTGGATGAAATTCGGTACACGCATGTATAGTTTATGACCTGGATTGAGATATAAGACACTTTTTATCCCGAAAAATGTTAGGTTCCTGTGGCATTCTCAAAAACTAGTAGGTTTTTTGAGAATGCCAAAGGAACTAACATTTTTCCGTGGAAAATAATGTGGTAGGTTCCTGTGGCATTCTCAAAAAACAAGTAGTTTTTTTTGGGAATGCCACATGAACCTAAATTTTTTCCGTAAACAAAATGTTAGGTTCACGTGGCATTCTCAAAATACTTGTAGTTTTTGCGTGCAAACCGCGTAACAAACATACAAACTTATTTCACTCTTGGGACAAATTATTCTTCACAATTGTTGTTTGGTTATTCATATCCGTTTGGCAGGTTAGAACCTTTTCTCCAATTTTCTTGTAAACACTTGTATGTTGTATTGTGTTGCACTGTATTTGTCACTTAACTTGATCGAAATATTCTTTAGTTTAAAAAACTCTAACACCCTTATTGATAAACGAACGATAAGATTGTATTAGTTACTCCATGTTTTGTCTCTGTTCATTGAATTAGAAATGGCATTTGAGTGATATTACCAAAACACTTCGTAACGAGTCTTAGCTTATACCTTGTTTAAACAAGGGGTATCAGTAGGAAAATTAAACTTTTTCAAAAACCATGATTGCCTGTAGGTTCATAGTAAACACGATGGAGGAGTACAACAGTTGCCCAGGCGTGGTGAAGATGGACCTCGTATTGTTTAAAGACGCCATAGAACATATATGCCGGATCGTGCGAGTCATATCGCAGCCTAGGGGCAACGTGCTCTGTGTGGGGATAGGTCTGTATATTATATTGTTTTAAACGTTCATGGTCAATAAACCCTGGAATCCAGTGGTTCGTATGAGCAAAAACTAGACACTTGGTTGGTGGTTGTGGATTTGGTTTAAAGTTTTGTTTGATGGACCGGGAGCGAGTGCGATGTGTAGTTTTGCATGTGTTTAACTTTTAAAATTCTATTTTAAATATTTTTTCTCTAAACTTCAGCTCTTTTTGCAATTTGGAGTTAGTTTTTTTTTAATATTGTAATTCCTTTCTTTTTTTTATATCTAATTATATCTGTGAGCTAATTAATGATAATAAAGATGGACTGGGAGCGTCCGCACTGGGAGACCGTATACCCCCTTGCACTAGGCCCAGTGCGTAATGGCCCCATGTTGAAAGGACAATGGGCCCAAGGTTGGTATATAAATATTTAAGAAGTTTTCACGCACACTACTCATTAAGTTTTAAATCTGTCAGAATTATGATGAAAACATCAAAATTCTGACGACGCAGCCTGAAATTATGCGAAATGTCAAAAAACTCGCATTTTGAACCCGTTTAAGCGTGTTTTATGTAATATTTTAACTACGTTCCAATCGAGTGTTGAACGACACTCGGGTTTTTTTATTTACCGTCATATTCAGTAGATTTTCGTACACGGTCAGGTGGTTCCGGACGGCAGAGCTTGACGCGCGTTGCGTCGTACATCTGCGAGTGTAACACTTTCCAAGTGGTCGTCACCAAGACATACGGCATCAAGGAGTTCAGGGAAGACTTGAAGGTTTAATCCATTTTTTCTGACTATTTATTCTGTGACTTGTTAAATAATTTTTATTCTATTATGTGACATAGTACCAAATAATTTTATAAAAAAATACGTGTGGCACTCGGGGACTGCCGCGGTAAAGCTATTGCATAGCATTTTTTATCAATTTATGCAATTATAATTATGTATTCATGCAGTTTTTTTCTTTGATATTAATTCATGTTACACTTTTTGAGCGTGGTGACCGATAAGAAAACATTTTTTTTTCCATCTCCTTCATGCAGTCGGCCAGCATACTTTTAATAACACTGCTGTGATTATTTCTGGCGGCGTTCTCCTTGGCCTTACCCTGGACCTCATCTTCCTTTGGAGAGCCACTGGCCAGGTCGACAGGTTCCCGTTTTTCGTTCTCGGAAGAGACGCTGATACCATTTACAGGCGAACGCTCGTGGTCACCCCTGCGTGTGCTCTTCTGCACTTCTTGCACAAGCTCCACAGTTTCCATCTTTAGTCCAAAAATTTTAATTATAATTATAAAGTCTAAATAAAAGGGAGACAAATAGAAATAAGAACAGGTGCTGGGGCATGGGGTCTAAAACAAATATACATATTAAAAAAAAATGGGTGCGTGTACTTATGTAGGCGCGTGAGAAGTTATCCTTCTTTGGCATCGTTTAAAATTAGTTTTTAATTGCATGCAAATAATTAATTACAATAAATTAATAAAAAGTCTGGAAAAGGACGAAGTCAATAAAGTTCAGTTTTAATTTGAAAAAATAAATAAATAATCAAAATATTCAATTTAAATTTAAATCGCTACTGAATATAATTTATTAGAACATATGTGATTTGCACTTGTATGAAACTCAAACATCGTATTCCGAATATACAAACTAGAAACATGTGGATAAATATTATAAATATGAATACCTATAACTGTTACTTTATTACAAAAAATAAAGATGTGGTTTTTGGTTCTACTACACCAATGGTCAAGAGATGGCGCTGTAGTCTCCTGAATCGCGCTTTGGTTCCGTTGTTCCAGATTAATAAATACTTTTGATAGGCCTTCACAATGCAGTCGTTAGCACCCACTAAATAGAGATTCTATTTCTATTTTGTTGGTAGATTTTCTTAATGTGCGGTAAACACAAAAGTAATAGATCGCTAAAGCGACCAACTTCATGCTGTTAAAATTTTGTGTTACAGTGATGCGCGCGCATCTTAAAATTTCACTCTCATCATTTTTTCATAACGCGCCTAAAGAAGTATAACTTCAAAAATGAAAAAAATAATAACTAAAAATAAAAAATACGAGTGCGGGGTTTGAACCGACGACCGCGGTGATGCGTCGAACGTTAGTCCCGTGGCAATAATTTAACACACTGCGCCGTTTAGATTAATATTAGATTGGCGAAAATTGTGTCCTATTGGTATATGCACTATCGCAAGGTTTTTTCGTTACAGAATTTTTTGATTCGGTCCCCGCGTTCAAAGCCCGCGATACAAAGCTTAAAAACTAATGTAAATTTGCATTCTACCGTCTATAAATGAATAAGTGAAACCTACAGTATGGTTATGTGTAACTATTTGTGACCTTGATTACCCTGTTCGAATGTAAATAAAAAATATTCTATTCTATTCCCTTTAATTTGATTTGATTCATATAAAAAAGCGTAAAGAAATATATAATACTGTGTTTAAAATGTCTTGGGTGCATTTCCTAAAATTTGCATAAAACTTACCTGGATTTTTTTAATGAAACTGTCCATTTGCTCAAAGAATTGTGGAATGATGATGATTTTGTAGGATCTCTGGGTTTCAAATATTAATATTTCTTGTGCAAGAATATAGACTTTAAGGATCAGAAATAGCAAGAGCTTTTGGATCTCTTTTCGCTAATAATTATTGGATATAACCTCTTATCTGAAAGTTTCCAGTTATCCATGCAATGTAACAAACTGAGTTATTTATTAAAACTAAACCAAAAACATTATATTCAAGCAAGTTTTAGATTTTCAGTTACTGCTCTGTTTTTCGCGCGGATTTTGAGAAATGTTTTATGAACTTAAATATGTTATCATTTCCTAAACCTAGACAAAGTAACTTAAAACTAAATTTTAATTCAATATCGATGCCGTTTTTCCTGACTTTTTTAATTATGAATAGATGAGAAGTACTTTTTTTTCGTGTTATTGCGTATAACTATTATCTTTAAATTAATTTTATTTATTTTGACGTCACTGAACTTGTAACAATTTTTTGTTACCACCGACTAGATCCGGGCTTTGCGTGAGACTCAAGATTAAATATTCTATATTCAGGGCGCCGTAATACTGATATTTGAGGGAGATAAATAAAAAAATCAATAACCACAGTGAACATATATATATTGTTAGTATTCAGATAAGTTTTTCAACATATATTAACACTCTTAACACTATTTATTAATATCTTTGTATATCTATATATATATTTAGCTTTCGCAAAGTCAAGAATTAAGTATTAAAGGTTGATCACATATTTAATAACATTCCAAGAAGTTGTTATTTCTTTTAAGTTAACAATTTTATTAAGATGTGGTTTTACAAATTGATAAACAATGTGCTGTGAAATACAAGTTACATATTAATGATTTTACAATTTATTAATTTAAATACTCAGATAAGTTCTAGAAATACACAAATTTTGTTATTCGGAGAATGCACTGGATAAGGATTAAATATGTTCAGATTTTACTTAGCTTTTCTCAAGATCTTGAGACCATCAAGTGATTCAGGTATCCACATAGATTGGAACAGGACATGCTGTCATCACATGAACACGTTTTCTTTCAGGATTGAATTCACAGGCTCATTTATATATAGCGTACTTCTTTATATATATATATCCAAAGAAATTTCAAGCAGGTTTAATTAATTGAAATTTTCGTATACTGATTTTATTAGCCTCCTCAAAGGACCTAGAAATAATTACACACATTTCCTATAGTTCAATAAAAAACCTAAATTAACAACCTAACTAGTTAGATATATTGGACTTACCCGTTAATCCGGGGAAAGTATATTAATTAATAATGCACTGACTATAACTGCCAGTCACTGTGCAATTAACTAGATGTTCCAGAGTTCGATCAGCAGACAAGAGAGAACGAATTCGTCTGCGCAAGGCTATTTATAGGGGCATAGGGTCACGTGTGTCTGCTAGCAAATTTCTCTCAAATCACCTTATTTGGTGCGAGGAAACGACAGAACCGGTTAAGCAGACTCCGCCCATCAAAAGAAACTCTTTCTAGAACATTAGCTCAATAAAGACCATACGGTCGATGGCCGCACGACCCGATCGGGGCGCGCTACTCATGGAAAGATGCACACTAACTCCATCTGTCGCAAATTTCAAATGCAACTATCAAATTTTTTCATTAAGAATATATTCCTTGCTTCTTTAAAGCAGATTACAATATTTGAGGATTTTATGCGTATGATGATAGATGGCGCTTTAAATAATAATATTAGTATAAACTAACTTATAAAATTATGATGCTACAAACTTCATTAATTTAATTATTTCCTATAATATGTAATATTTGCACGTTGACATTTTCAACAAAATATGCTGGAAACCAGAGCTAACAACTATTGTAACCATATATATTTTGGCAAATAAATGATTATTATTATTATTATAGGAGCTACTTTCAAATATCACTCTAAGAAAGTCGAATATGTATATTATATATGAAAGAATCACATAATTTTCAAATACTATATTATACCAGGTTCTGTATACGAGTTGCGGTGTAGACGCTAAGAAGACCACTTTCATATTCTGCGACACGCAGATCGCCGAGGAATCGTTCACGGAGATCATTAACAACCTGCTAAGCAGCGGCGAAATCACTAACCTCTATAAACCGGACGAGTTTGAAGACGTAATTAAATTAACTTTTGATCATCTTTAGTCCAGTTATAATAATCAACCGCCAGTAAAAGGTAAGGTTGATATGGTTCCGTTTCTTAGCAACAGCTGTTATTATAGTCTTAATAATCAAAATATTTAAGCAACAAAGATCTTGTAGGCCTACTCGTATCTCTTACTGAAGTCTGGTTGTTGAAATTGGCCGTTAGCGAATAACAAACAAACATAAAGACATGAAAATCCCGTTAAATATATTTACATTTAAGTTGAATCTACTCTGATAGTAGTGTCAACTCTGGCTTGATCCTGTAAACTTAAAACTAAATTTAACTTCAGGCTCTCCTTTTTATTCTGTATTAAGGATGACAAAGATATACTATTGTCAGATTTAAGTTTAGGTTTAGATATAATCATGCCAGAATCGACACCACTGTATTGCTAACCTAAAATTGAAATTTTGGGACAATTTAATATTTAGATATTTTAGGAGACACAATGACGTAAATAGTGTAATGAATGAAAAACCCAAAGAAAATGTTGCAATATAAAGAAAATATAACTAGAAAAAATTCCACGCGGTCCAGGCAGCAGCCGGGACTCGAACCCGCACCCTTCGCAATCCGGGCGAATGAATGAATTGTGGGTTGCCTATAATGCGAAGAGATGGCGCTGGTAGCATAATTGGTCAGTGCATTCGCCCGGATTGCGAAGGGTGCGGGTTCGAGTCCCGTCTGCTGCCTGGTCCGCGTGGAATTTTTTCTAGTTATATTTTTTTTAGATTTAAACATCAAGCAGTTACATGCTTTAAAAAAAATAAAAAATATGTTGCAATATTTCAGATTAAATCTGGCTTAGAGAAGCCCATGAAGAACCAGAACATTTTGCAAACGGCGGAGACTGTGTATCTGTTCCTAGTGGACCGGGTGAGGGCCCACATGCACATTGTCTTGTGCTTCAGTCCAATCGGAGATGAGTTCAGGTTTGTATAGTGCGCGCTTTACAGGAAGGCCAAAGGGAAGATTTCAACGAGCTGGGTGATGGTGCCGCGAAGTATATCAAAGTTCTTAAAGAATTAGTATAGAAATTTTTTTTGATGTAGAACATCTTTCCTCTCGCTTTCCTGCAATTTGTGGGAGTGATTACGTGAAGTGGGACGGAAGGGTGTAATAGGAAGTTTGGGAAGCGTACGCTATTTGATTTGATTTTAGAACTTAATGTTCAAATGGCTTATTTATTTCTTTTGTAGTAGGTTTTATTTCTTTTTTTACTAATATAAGGTGAGGTTTCAAATGTTACACATCATACGCGACTACTGTAAGGCTCGCTGTTTTTTTTTATTATAACAGCGCAAAGAGAGCAAATAGATGAGAAATCGTTTATCTGGCTAGCGGATTTTCCTGAAATTAGTTCCGAGTTTTTTTTTAATTATTTATTTAAAACTCAGATTACAGAACAAAAGGCAGATGGAAAGCACGGAACACGCAAGTGCGGCCACCTAAGCAAATACGAAGTCAAAAACGAATACAAACTCGCACCAGTATGCTACAACGCGTCGTGTTGTGCATACGTCCCGTGAATATTAATTTTTTATCAAAACCGTGCCTGGTTCAAAAATTTGTAAAAACTATTAACAAAGACAAAGAAGTATTTACTTTTGACTTTGTGTTTAATTTGGTGGTCGCACTTTCGTGTTCCGTGCATTCCATCTGCCTTTTGTTCTATAATCGCAGATTTAAAAATAAGAGATCTCAGGCAGTGCAGGTACTTAGCTGTCCTCAAAGTTCGTTCACGGAGATCATTAACAACAAATAAAAAAGCAATTGATACTGTTACAACATTGACTAAGAAGTGAGTAGTCCAATGTCGAGTAGGAAATCCGGTATATAAAAAATTTATTTACCTACATCTCTCACCACGGCGACCAATAATAAGTGGAGTGGAATTTGGCAATGAGAAGATTAAGATTTTTTTTTAATTATTCATGACCATGGATACAAGTCCTTCAGTCATATACATAAATACAAATCTTAATCTTCTTTTTTACATTAGAATGACGGCGTGACGCATTCTAATGTTTCTTGGAGTGTTTGGCACGAAATGTATCGAGTTGGTTTTTTCGATAAGCTTCTGTGAGGTAGCTAACACTACAATAAAGTTCTCACCTCCACTTGACCGAAATAGCGTATATTTAAAAGATTCCACTAATTCTTCAGTTGCGCAGATGGTTGTAACACAAAATCACACCAATTTTATTTCACAATATCCGCTATGAACGAATTTAAGAATAACTGAAATAAGACGCCAACCGCATTCGATGAAATCCCGCCAAGAACTCCCCGAGAAGATTAAGTTTCTTTTTGGTATTGCTAGTGAGATTTAGACCCCCGCTTTGTCATATGTTATATACCATAACTATTACTTTCATATTTCTCCACTTATTGCATCATCATTTGCGCATCACACCACCATCATACGATCCCTACGATCACATGATGTTTTCCTCTAAATTAAATATTGAGACCCTTTGACCTCCATCATATTTGCGTATTACATGGCCACCCAAATTGCCACCATAAAATAGTTGATTACTTGACACCGATCATTAAAGCTCATTATCGAAACCATTAGAACTTCAGATAATCTACGGTCACTCGATATCATCTTATTCTTTCGCGGAATATTCGCAATTCGGCAACACGTGAGCACTTGTTTACACCTTCCTATAAAAGCCCCAAATCCCTCGGGACCAATTCATTCTACATCAGATCCTCGCCTCAGGCACTCATCAAGACTCATCTACCGGTTCGCGACGCTATTCGTCTTCATATAACACCTCGTCTTTAAATTAGTCTGAGTGTAAGCCAGATCGGCACAGCAGTAATTAAATAAAATACTTAGAAGCATCAACTGGTTTCATTTCACGAAGACTCCGGCCAAAGGGTATAACACATAACATATACGTAAGTCTCTTTTTAACCCCCGACGAAAAAGAGGGGTGTTATAAGTTTGCCGTGTCTGCATGTCTGTGTGGCCCAGACATCGTCAAGTTGGACCGCGAGTAGAGAGAGTACCAAACAACAAAGATTTACCACTTCTTATACCTACCTACCTTCTTGTACTGAGAAGCTCATGGCGCGGATGGTTAGCGCGTTCGGCTGCGATCATTGAAGTTAAACAACTTTCGCAGTGGTCGGTTATTGGATAGGTGACCAAAATTCTTCTATCTCGAGTTCCTCCGTGCTTCGGAAGGCACGTGAAGTTGTTGGTCCCGGCTGCATCTGCAGTCGTTAGCACCCGCCAATCCATACTGGGCCCCCGTGGTGGGTCATAGCTCAATCTCCCAATTTCATCCATAGGGAAGACCTGTGCCCCAGCAGTGGGGACATTTAATAGGTTGATGATGATAATGAGACCTACCTAACAATTATAAATGAATCTAATTCTTCAACGCTCCTTCAACCTCTATTACTTAGTACTTAGTTATATTAAAGTTAAAGGGCCAACACAGTTTATTATTCTTAATTTTCCATTTAAATTTTGACTATTAGAATGACAACTTTATGGTTTATCAAATTTATAATAACTTTATAATCTACTTTGACATGCATGTAACAATAGACTATTTCCAATTATATTTATAAATTGCGATTTCAATGTTACCAAAATAATAGTACCGGTTTCATAAGTCCATATCTATTTGTATTCTATTTAAGGTGGAAATGTAGTGATACTAACAAAAATTTTATATACCTACCATGTATACATTAACCCACGTTTCTCAAATAAAATTTTGAGATTTTCATATTGTTTTAAACTTTCATGGTCACTAACATTATAGTAATATAAATTATTTACGGGATTGTTACCATGTACCTTGTTTTTAGCGAGTTTCCGGTATTTCGGCACTGTTGCAAGCGCCATGATCACGGAGTAACTGAAGTAATTGCGGGTAGGCTGTTATTGGCAGAAATATCGGTTTACCCTCCTTGTCTTAAACCAAGGTACATAGTAACAATCCCGTAAATAACTTAATATTACTATAATCTGAGATTTTTATTTCACTTTTTTTTTATTTTTAGCTGTCAGGGTATTTTCAATATTCTAATTTCATTTCGAGTAGAAAAATAATCCTTGGCCGGTTGATTCGTCTCTGGCAGTAAGACAAGTGCGGTAACCACTGATTCGACTAATAAATACTATCCAGGAACCGCATCCGGCAATACCCCGCTTTAATTAACGCGACCACCACCAACTGGTTCTTGGAATGGCCGCGGGAGGCGCTGCTCGAAGTCGCCTACAAGTTCCTCGAGGGCGTAGAGCTTCTAGCTTCTATCACTGGACCTAGGGTAAGTATCGAATTCACACGGTATACTTATGACTGTACTGTGCTTAACAAAACTGTCAATAAGGTCCAACTGGCAGTAGGGTATAATCTTGAAGGTCCAATGGGCACATTGAATATAACATTTTTAAGAAGGTCCAATGGACACCAAAAAAGAGGTCCAATGGGCACTTTTTGCTTTTGGGTCGAATCTTGAGGGTCCAACGGGTACTAGACCCATTTGACAACCACCGTGGCCGAGTGGTTTCTACGTCGGGTTTCAAGTTGTCGCCTACTCGGAGGTCCCGGGTTCGAATACGAACATTTGTCCCTAAGTCATGGATGTATAAATATATTTCTATATAAATATACTTAGCTAAGTATCGGTTATATGTATTCTATCCGTTACCCTAGTATCCCATAACAAGTCTTACAGTGCTTACTTTGGGGCTAGGTTAATTGGTGTGACAGTTAAAAATTTTTTTGTTTTGACATTGTGGGATACCTCCAATGCGAAGAGATGGCGCTGCCATTCAGCTTAAGGATAGGAAAATTTCGACGCGGCCATCAGGGCCGCGGTAGCATAATTGGTCAGTGCATTCGCCCGGATTGCGAAGGGTGCGGGTTCAACTATTAAAACTTTTCCTTAGATTTAAATATCTAGCAGTTAAATGCTTAAAAATAAAAATTAAACATTTATTTCTTATTTTAAAAGGTGTTTTATTCTTAGTATAAGATCTCATTCTAGTTTAATCGCTATGAGACAATATTTTTGATAAACTAATACGGTAAAGCTGTTTAGTTACAAAATACCAAAGAGAATTGATTTATAGTTTGATACCTAGCTATAGGGACATTAAGAGCTGAAGATTTTAGGTCTCCCTATTCTACCCATAGGCCTGTGCCCAGCAGTGGGGACATTAATAAATAATAATAAATAAATAAATATTTCCGACACACACCAATTAGCCTAGCCCCAAAGTAAGCACTATAAGGCTTGTGTTATGGGATGCTAGGGTAACGGATAGAATACATATACTGTACATATATAAGTATATTTATATAAATACATATTAAACATCCACGACTGGAGTACAAATGTTCGTATTCATCACACAAACATCTGCCCCCACCGGGATTCGAACCTGGGACCTCTCGAGTCGGCGACAGCCATGAAACCCGGAGTACAAACCACTCGGCCACGGAGGTCGTCAGGCTAATAGGCTTATGATAATGATGATTACTTTCTTGCCTCTTTCTCCATCAGTTTCTCTTCCTCCAATAGTTTTGTCATGATGCTGATTGTTTACCGGAAATTGTTTACTAGAATTGAACACGTTCAGTTAGTTTGCGAGTCCTAGCTGTGAGAATTTAAAATTTGGTCTTATAAATTCGTTTTCTGTCAAACATCATCTATCTTTTTAATGAGATTTTTCTTGAGTAGACACGATTATTTTGAATTTACAACGAATATAACAAAATCTACATCTACATAACCTATGTATTTCTACGACATCACCGCTCTGTTGTGTTTCAGATTTTTGAATTTCTCACAAGTTTTTCGTACATTTTAATAATTAATTACTTGCTCAAAAGTAAATTAATTAAAAATTGAACCGTATTTGGATTACAAGCTTATTACCTGTTGATCGGGCCATATTGTGAATGAAACATAAATAAATATAAATATTTTCAACACACACCGATTAGCCTAGCCCCAAAGTAAGCACTGTAGACTTGTGTTATGGGATACTAGGGTAACGGGCAGAATAAATATACTGATACATATACAAGTATATTTATATAGAAAAAACATATTACATATCCATGACTGGAGTACAAATGCTCGTATACATCACACAACCATCTGCCTCCACCGGGATTCGAATCCGGGACCTCTCGAATAGGCGACACCTTGAAACCCGACGTACAAACCGTTGCAAATCTTTAGTTTCTTTCCCTACTTTCAAGCTTCGCTTAAGAAAGAGCTGTATTTCTTAAGCGAAGCTTCATTCCATTTCTTGATGTGGTCTGCGTTTCAAACAGGTACGCAGGAAGGAATCTTTGATCGAGAGTCGCGAAGACGCTTTGCGAGCTTCAGCTGCTTCCATTATGTCCTTGATCCACTCGTCCGTGGGCAAATACTCTGTTAAAATGTGGCAAGAAATGAGACGCACAAACTACGTCACGCCCACCAACTATCTGGAACTGGTGTCGGGATATAAGGAGTGAGTATCCTGCTCCTGGTCACGTTAAGAAATAATAGTCCCAATATTGATGCTATTATGTATTTAATTTTTCCTTCAGAATTAGTGAAGCAAACCAGTGAACCAAATGTTCACCAAAACCTGATTAAAAAAAAAATATATATTTAATTAATTGAGAACTTCGGAGATTTTGTGTGGTTTCGTTTGTAATTCATGATTTCTCGAAAACCGGAAGTGCTACGTTACTCAAATCCGGTTTGTAGTCTTATCAGACTATTCTTAACTTATAACTTAAACATTCTCTTTATCTATCTCTTACGGTTTGGCCGCTGAAACAGCACCACGGACGGACGGACGGACTTGTCTAATAGATAAGAGATACGGTTCTTAATTTAAATAAAATATACGATACAAATGAAGCTGGTTCTACAAAAGTTCAGGTGAAGAACGAGTGTTGCCGACAACGCCCGTCGGCAATCCTCGTTTTCGTTTCGGCCGCGGTCGTGATCCTTCTTCAAAATTCGCCGGTTTCAATTGCTCCTGCGCGTAGTTTAAGCGCGAACATATTATAGTACATGCCGCTATAAAACGATATACGTGAACATGAGACATTGTTGGGACTTATTTCTTTGTCACACTATCCGTAATTGAATGCTTTGTCCGGCGACTTCCCTCTCTTCTACAACCCGGGATCCTTTTGAAGAAGCACGAAGAAGCAGAATGCCTCTGAAAACGTGCAGACATGAGACAAGGTAGGCAAATGACTCTACCCTACCGATGTTAATTGGTGATAAAGTCCAAACGCGAAGTAAACACACAGTATAATTTTGGCATTTGGAAGCTTAATCCAGATTAATATATATCAGGGTGAAGCTTCTAAATGCCAAAATTATATGCATACATTCTGCGGCAAAGAATCACATAAACAGAAATCAATTCAAGCATTTTCCAACTGATGGAAACATGATGTTTTACAGGATGCTGAAAATGAAAAGGTTTGAAATAGCACTTCAAGCTAACAAATTGAGGAACGGTCTTGGAAAAGTCGAGGAGACCACGAAGTTGGTCGGCCAGATGTCTGAAGAGTTAGCTATTGCTAAGGTAAGTCAAACACACAGACAAAGACAAACGTAGTGGTAAATGTAGTGTTGTTTTAATATGGTCTTCTGTAAGGTGGAGGTTACTTCCCCAGACCGGCACTCCAAATCGAGAGGAAAATCCGCTATGCTCTTCCTCTTTTATCTACCTATTTAATTTCCAATTTGAAATAATTATTAGAACTTTATATTTTATGCTTTATTATCCTTATGTAGGAACAAGTCGCGGAATACACAGAGCAGTGTATAGAGTACATGGGCGTTATCAACGTTCAGCAACGTAACGCTGACGAGCAACAACGCAGCGTCGCCGCAAGAAGCAAGAAAACTCAAGAAGAGGAAGTTCAGTGCAAGAAGTTGGCTGATGCTGCAATGAGAGATTTGGCTTCTGCTATGCCGGCATTGGAAGAAGCTGTTAAAGTGAGTGAAATAGCTGTTTTCGGGGTTGAAAATTGCTAGAAAACAGCTAATTGTTGTGAAAAATAATAGAGCTCATGTGATTAGGCGCACGATGCGGTAAAACGTTTTATCGCAAGCTCCATTGTCAAGTGACAAGTGTTTGCACATCGTGTGCATTGAATCCATGCCAAGTCCTCTGCGAATATTTTCTTCGCGATTCAGGGACTTCTGTCCTCCGCGGGCGAAAGTCCTTCGTCTGCGCAAATAATTAAAGGCTTTATCCGTAGATTATTATTCGGGCCATATTTTTAGCTTTATATCTTTTTCCCTACTACTACTATAAAAATATTATTTTAACCATGGATGCTTATTTGCAGGCATTAGATGCTTTAAACAAGAAAGACATAACTGAAGTTAAGTCTTACGCAAAACCGCCACAAAAAGTAGAAATGGTTTTGGAGGCTGTACTGATATTATTACAAGTAAGTACTATAATTAAGAATAATAAAGTTTAATGTTCAGAATAATAAATACGTCTTTAAAAGTACCCCTTTTCATGTAAAACTTTTGAAAAAGAGTCTTTTAAAGATCAAATATTTTTGATAACCTTTTCACGTTTCATATTGGACTCCCATTGCAATCTACCATAACAATATTTTGGAATACTTATTTCCATACAATTATTTTGTCAGTGCGAATTTATATATTACTAGCTGACCCAGTGAACTTCGTACCGCCCTAAAAAAATAGGGGTTGTCCAGCGGACAAAATTGTGAATCTAAACCATTCTCAGATCCCCTTGAACACACACAAAAAATTTCATCAAAATCGGTCCAGTCGTTTAAGAGAAGTTCAGTGACATACACACTCACAGAAGAATTTATTATATAAAGATAAACGCTCCCATTGTAATCTACATTTTTAGAATACTTCGTATATCCACTCCATAATTAATCAATTTCAAATGGCTATAGTTTTTAATACTTACTTTTTGCCTAATCCCAAATTATTAGCTCTTATTTACCTTAAAAAAAACAGAAAGAACCAACGTGGGCGGAAGCAAAGCGTCAGCTCGGCGACCAATACTTTCTCGACCGTCTCCGGGACTTCGACAAGGACAATATTGCCGATAAAACCCTCAAGAAGATCGGCACTTACACCGCCAAACAGGACTTCGACCCAGAGATAGTGGGAACCGTTTCGGCCGCTGCTAAGTCTCTGTGTTTATGGGTGCGGGCCATAGAAAAATATGGAAAGGTCTACAAGTAAGTCCTTTTAAGTTTTACTAGGAAGGACTTTCTAGAATATCGGCACAAGCAAAACCCTCCTAGTTGAACCACGATCTAGAGAGTTCGAACTGAATTTCTCCTTAGTACATGGTTTCCCGAGAACCAATGACATAATAGCTTTTCAGGGCTTGTGACAGCAGAAACTGAATAAATATTATTGAAGTTTAAGAACTTCAGCTGCCGTAGTACGGGAACCTGCAGTACGGGAAGGTCTTACAAGTGGTTGCTTACAAAGCTTAATAAGAATATAAGCGAGTCAATATCCATGGAATAGTTTGATAAGAATATAAGTGAGTCAATATCCATGTAATAGTTTGATAAGAATATAAGCGAGTCAGTATCCATGGAATATTTGATAATCATTGTTTGATTGTTCAAAATAATGTAGCTGTTATGACTGTAAAACTATGATATGACAGTTTATTTTTTTAAATGTAATTTGGTTTTGGCAATTACACTTTAATTGAAGCCTAGATCTTCTCGTGACATATCTCTCCAGGCTTCAGAGAGATTCATCATCATTAGTTGTATGTGTCAAGTCTATATTAAAATTACTTTCCACAAACAGAATAGTGAAACCAAAGAAAGAGCGTCTAGAGGAAGCGTTAGAATCCCTCCGTATGAAGCAGCAGATTTTGGCCGAGGCTCGTGCAAAGCTCCGGGAATTGAGCGAGATGATCGCTCGCCTCCAGAAGGAATATGACGAGAAGGTGGCACAGAAAGAAGAACTAGAAAGGAAGTCTAGGATGCTACAATTGAAGTTGGAAAGAGCTGAGGCGCTTATTACTGGATTATCAGGTAATGAAGGAAGATAAGTGTAGCGTAAGATACGTTGTAAATTTGATAAAAAATGTCGTGACTTTTGATAGGTTTGTACCTCATCATGGATCAGTAGTAATTAATCATGGAAGAACTTCGCAAGCTTATTTATCAATGTAGGTACAAATGTCGGAAAATCGCTAAATTAACCAATTTGGCTGGTATTTCGATTTTGATTGCAATTCTCAAGTTTTGGTTTGAGTAAAACAACTTTTCGTCAGCATTTACTTTTCCACGCATTTAACAGCATTCCTCGAACTCTTTTATTTCACATTCGAGGAAGAGACAGCTTACATCACATTGATGCTCATTTTGTCTTTGAAAAGGATCACATAATAAATTCTAAAATATTTCCGCCACAGGCGAACGCGAACGCTGGGAGTTGACAGTGGAACGTCTGGACAAAGAGTTTGATAATCTCCCCGGAGACTGCCTCATAGCCACCGGCTTCGTGGCTTATCTTGGACCTTTTGTGTCCGAGTACAGAGAGGCGCTGATGAGCGATTGGTTTATGGAAGTGAGATTCATCTTTGACTTCTTAAATAAGCGTTATATTTTGCTTCTTTCTGGGGAAATGGTTCGACAATTCGCTTGGAGACTGCCTGATAGCCACCGGCTTCGTTGCATATCTCGGACCCTTTGTACAGTCGCCATCAGATATATCTGAGCATACAAGATGACCAAATACATCTGAACAGTTAAAATGTCAATAAGTTCTATACACTACAAGTGACCATAAATATCTGATCATTCATTACTTCAATAATATCTGAGCAGATACCTGTCAATAATATCTGAACATACAACTTTTCAAAAATATCTGAACAATTTTAATAGGACCTCTTAATTATTTATTTATAATAAGATGACGCTGGCAGTTAAACACTTTCCAGTTTTTATTCTTATCACCTCTGTCATGTGTCATGCACAAATAAATTCAAGCAGCTTGCTTACGTATTAGTTCATACCATAAATTAACTATAATTAATATGAGTTCGTACCGTATTGATGCGGAAATGAAACATAAAATAATACAACTAAAAAATTATGGTTTATCCGTAAAAGATATCGCCGATGAGCTAGGGATAGCCGTAAGTATCACGGAGAAAAATGCTAAAAATCAATTGCCCACAAAACATGAAACTTTATTCACAAAGTATAAAATTGCATTTATTTCAGAGAAATACTGTATATTTATGGCTAGAAAGATGGCAGCAAGGAGAAACATTAAATAATCATGTTTCATTTGGTCGCCCGCGTATTACTACAAATAACCAAGACATAGCTATTATAGATAAAGCCAAAAATGACAGATTTATAAACACTACACAATTTTCAAGCACATTCGAAATATCCACTAGCACCATTAGAAGACGATTAAAAGAAGGAGGTTTAAAAAATAGAGTACCGGCAAGAAAACCAACTCTCACGCCAAGGCACAAAATGCAGCGGCTACAATTTGCAGCTAATTATTTAAATTTTAATTTTCAAAACGTTATTTTCATGGACGAAAAGATTTCTGCTCATGGCGACCCGAAAACACACGTTACTTAGAACAAAATGTGCTGCCTAATCGCCGGAGTGGACGTATTTCAATTGGATTTTGGGGAGGGATGTGCAAAGATGGTCCTGGTGAGCTTGTGGAAATAAGTGGACGAATGAATGCAATGAATTATAAGGAACTTCTGGAAGATACTTTTCTTCCTACAGCTCAAGTTTTTTATCCAGAACAACAAATTACATTCCTTCAAGACAACAGCTCAGTACATAATGCTCGTACAGTACTGACATGGATTAATGAACAGAGAGAACTAACTTTAATCAAACTACCACCAAAAAGTCCAGACCTCAATCCCATCGAAAACCTTTGGGGTAAATTGGTGCAAGAGTGGGATGGGAATCAATGTCGAACAACAGAAGCCTTAAGGCGACATGCAAATGATGTTTGGGAATCGTTCAGAGGTCGAGGTTTTTGTGAGAAGGTAGTTGGTTCCATGAGGAAACGTTTACAAGACGTATTAAATGCAGAAGGAGGTTACACAAAATACTAATGTTTCATGAGAAGTATATAATTGGTCAGCCTTTAAATAATTTGGTCGGCACAAAAAGATTTTGTAAGCAATTTAAAAAATCAGGCAGCAATCCTTGTTCGGCAAATAATTATATAATGGTCAAAAATTTAATATGAGAGTATACAAGATGGCTCATTTAAATGGGTCAGTATGGGAAAGTCTGAACTATAATTTAAACGAAGATCTGTTCTTAGGAACTTTGTCATCGATTTTAATAAAAATTAAAACTGCATTCATACATTTAAGAAAAACCCTGTGGTCAGCTCGGGAATCAAACCCGGTCGTTTTGAAAAAAAAACTAACACTATTTCCTATTTCTATTTATTAGTAAGATAAGTTACCTATACGTGTTAAATTTTGTATTAAAAAAACGGTGGTCACTTAGAACCTCTACTGAAATAATTTAAATTATGTGACAAAAATGCGTTTTACTCATTTTAGACATCACGTTTAATAGAAACATTTACTGCTTCAGACCTACATAATCGATATTTAAATAGAAATAGTGTGTTTTTTTTTTCAAAACGACCGGGTTTGATTTCCGTGCTGATCATAGGGTTTTTCTTAAATGTATGAATGCAGTTTTTATTTTTATTTTTATTAAAATCTTGTTCCTAAGAACAGATCTTCATATATATTATAGTTTCAGACTTTCCCATCCTGACCCATTTCAATAAGCCAACCTGTATAATGAGAGTGGAGGGTTACCCGGGGAGAGGAAGACCGAAGAAAAGATGGATAGATTGTGTGAATGAGGACATGGCCAGTAAGGGAGTGAGTGTTGATATTGCGAGTGATAGAGGAGAATGGAAGCGGAAGACATGTTGCGCCGACCACAAATAGAATTGGGAAAAGGGCATGCAAATGATGATGGTCAAAAATGAAATCATAAAAAGGCAGCTTACAATAACATGGATCTGCAAGATTTCATAATCCATGTCTGTACTGTAGATTGGTTAGCAGGAGAAAACATGTCTATAAGCAGTATATTTGAATAGTATGCATATTTAAAAACCAGTCAAGTGCGACTCGGACTCGCTCCGTACCATTATCTAAATAAATATTTTTATATTGAATTAAATGTAAATTGCGGTTGTTTTTCTTTAAATTCGTCATATTATTTGTAAATAATATGACGTATTTAAAAAACAAATTACTTGGCCTCGTTCAAATCAACTTTTGCTAGAAGTTTGCAAGGTAATGTACAGACACGAGCTTTAATCTGGGCCCCACCTTTGAATATCGTGTAGCAATCTGCTGCAAGCTATATAAAGCTAATATTTTAATGCAAAGTCAATGTCATAATGTTTACCATTGACAACTTTACGTTTCTAGGGGCAACCATGCAATTACGTCATCTGAAGCGACAGCAAAAGATCATTTCCGATGTTATGTTATGTTCCGTTTCCGAATTATACTTTGTAAAAATGTCACATTAAACTGTTTTCTTCACTGACACTGACACGAAATAGTATTTTGTAAAGAGGTTATCATTTCAAGGGTCGATTCGTTATGACATTATGTCATCAAAACACTATCAAAGTAAAATATCGACCTTATTGCATTATGAATCCTAACAACATTTAGTGGAAATGGGTCCCATATTAAATTTATAGACCTATCAATTTTATAGACCTATCCATACCCCACACGTAAAGATTTGATTAAAAAAAATTCTAAGTCCATAAGTTTTTTTTTCTATTTTTGTATGAATATCGTTTTTTTTGCCATTTGGCTACGAAACCCTAAAAATGGTGAGCAAAATAACTAATTGGTCTGCGTTTTTGTTGAAAAGTCGACAATATACGTTACGGCCGTCTACGTCTGTTAGAAATTCCCGTCTAAATGGGCATTGATAATATTGGGAAATTATTAAGCTAATAATAATACGTTAATTTCAAGAACCTTACTAATTGCCTGATAACTTTTTGATTTGATCTCGTGTATAATTATAAGAATAAAACATTTAGTTACTATTTAATTTTAAACTCATTGTATCAGAAGTTGCTTTTTTTTATTTCGATCTCGATTATAATTTTATTATAATAATAAATACTTAAGCTTAAGCATCTACTGAGGTAGGTACCAAGTTAATTCGTTTACATTTTTTGATTATTTAACTCAATAAAAAATTATAAGAATTAAAATTGTTTTTTATTAATTTTCACTTTTATAAATAATACATACCCAAACCAAACAAACACATCCACTCAGACAGTAAATAAATTTTTTGTAAGGATGGCGCCCAGTTTGAGCATGACAAGTACAGAATTCCATTTTCCACTGCAATGGAAATAGTGGAACAAATGTTTCCTCCAAATTATTACTTATTTCTATTGCGGTTAAAAAACGCAGTTGTCTTATTTTAAAATAAATTTCTAAGAAGATATTGAGAATTTAATCTATAGAATAAAATAAAAACATAACTTCTCGTTAATTATAAAAAAAATGGATGCGTGTAACTTATGTACGCGCGTGAGAAGTTATACTTCTTTAGCATCATTAAAAATATTTTTTAATTGCATGCAAATAATTAATAATTACAATAAAATAATAAAAGGACTGGAAAAGGATAGTTAACACAGTCAATTAAGTTCAGTTTTAATTTGAAAAATTAAATAAATATTCAAAATATTCAATTAAAATCACTACTGAATTTAAGTTATTAGTCCATATGTAATTAGCACTTGTAAGTAACTAAAACACGTTGTGTCTATATAGAAACTAGAAACATGTGGATAAATATTATAAATATGAAAACAGTGATCTGAGGCGACGAGCGTGCCAACATTGTTTTTGACAACGCGATCATCTTATGGAGCTCCGTGGATCGTTCAAAGTACCTTTCGAACAGATGTCTAATAATGGTGGATTATTAACCACTAAGTGGTTAATAATCCACCATTATTAGACACTAACATTCATAACGCGCCCGCGGCCAACTTCATGGTGTTACTATTGTGTTAAAGTGATGCGCGCGCATCTAAAAATTTCACTCTCATCATTTTTTCATAACGCGCCTAAAGAAGTATAACTTCAAAAATAAATAGAGAAAAAATTAGGCATCTTCCATTTCTACTACTCGTGGTGACCTACACGAATGATTTTCTGATAGATTTTTATTCCCTTCTCATCGTATTTATTCCTTATATTTAGCCTTTGTTTTTAGTTCATCCTTTCAATCACGCAGTAACAAAATATGTAAGCCCAGTGCATGATCTGCGTAGATACATAATCATTGACGTGTTCAGATATTTTTGAAAAGTTGTATGTTCAGATATTATTGACAGGCATCTGCTCAGATATTATTGAAGTAATGAATGTTCGGATATTTATGGTCACTTGTAGTGTATAGAACTTAATGAAATTTTAACTGTTCAGATGTATTTGGTCACCTTGTATGCTCAGATATATCTGATGGCGACTGTATAAGACAACGACTTCCGTGGTCGAGTGGTTTATACGCCGGGTTTTATGGTGTCTCCGGCTCAAGAGGTCCCGGCTTCGAATCCCTGTGGGGTCAGATGTTTTTGCGATGAATACGAGCATTTGTACTCCAGTCATGGATGTTTAATATGTATTTCCATATAAATATACTTATATATTTACAATATATGTATTCTATCCGTTTCCTTAGTATTCCATAACACAAGCCTAACAGTGCTTATTTTGGGGCTAGGCTAATTGGTGTGAAGGTTAGAAATATTTATTTTGTTTATTTATTTATCAGAGTAAAGAGAGGAGCTGATGAGCGATTGGTTGATTAATCCTTAATTTCTGATATAAACATTGCACTTTGTCTGCTACTGGGAGTTCGACAATCTGCCCGTGAGAATGCCTGATAGCCACCGGCTTTGTGGCCTGCCTTGGGCCTTTTGTATCCGAGTACAGAGAGGCTCTGATGAGGGATTGGTTTATGGAGGTGAAATTAAGTTCTATCACAATTTTATAATATCTATTTATTTAAAGATTAAAGTGATACTGGCACAAAATAGAAAGTAGCCAGAATGACGACTCCTGCCTTCCTTGAAAATATTGGACAACACGTGTCCCTGTCACTAGTCTAATAACTAATAAATAAATTTGGCTTGAAACTGCGTGAGAATGCTTTAAGATGAAACTTTATTGTTTGCGCGACGGAATTGCGTTAAAAACGTGTTTTGTGTAGATACGAAAGGGGAAGTTAAGCGATGACACTGCTTCCAAATAAAAAAAATCATGACTGTTGACCTTTTAATCTATAAGAATCTTTCAAATCAAATCAAAACAGGTGTATAATGAAAGCGTACCGGTGACAATGGACCTCACCATGAAGTATTTCCTATTGGATGACGCTACTCTGAGGGACTGGAACTACATGGGCTTGCCCGGTAATTATCTACTCATTAAGTAAATGTAGGTACCTAGTTAAATTGTCTATGAAGGTTGAATAAAAACTGGACGTGCTAATAAAGATAAACATTAAAATAGGTGTTGTTTCCAACAGGTACCTCTTATTATAGTAATGTAAGTTATTTACGGGATTGTTACCATGTACCTTGTTTTTAGCGAGTTTCCGATATTTCGGCACTGTTGCAAGCGCCATGATCACGGAGTAACTGAAGTAATTGCGGGTAGGCTGTTATTGACAGACATATCGGTCTACCCTCCTTGTTTAAAAACAAGGTACATGGTAACAACCCCGTAAATAACTTATATTACTATAATGTTAGTTACCATGCAAGTTTAAAAGGAACCTCTTATTTTGGTAGAACAATTAAAAAATCTGTATCGTGGACTACAACTGCAGAGAACCGTTTAATGGTCGATGGTCATGGTACTGCTAGGTGGTATATAGGCATTGCTTACTTGCTGATGATCATATATACGAAATAATTATTAAAAATATTTACGAAAAAAAGGAATTGAACATTATCAGTCCATTGAATGGGTCTTTGTCCCAGCTTTTTTATGGATAGGATAGTTAGAATGAGTCATTACCCACCAAATGGCTCCAGTGCAGATTAGTGAATGCCACGTGGTAACGATTCATAATATTGTTACGTGTCGAGATGGGGTTCGAAATTATTTGCCAGTTCTCGCTTGACAGTTCTTTATTCACCACACAGTTCACACAATTGACACACAATGTTAATTACAAAACACTCACTAAACACTGTATTTCACTATACAAGTCACTAAACAATCGCACTTGAACACTTTTATTGCATTTTGATCGCCTTTGGATTCGCTCCGAAATCGCTTTTGAAACTAAATTGTCTCTGCGCGGCGCCAATCGCGCTTATATACGCAGATCGACGCATTCTAGAAAGTACCTGTTAAATTGAGAATTACCTGGCACCCGCGAGTACGAAATACCTACTTATACCTACGCAGGTAACACGCATAACTTGTAAACAAGTGCAGATGTCGTTGCTCTTTCACCCTTACGCCGCACTGCATAAGGTTCTTTTTAAAATGAGCCGCCTTACTAGACCTCTATCGCGACTCGCGGTGATCTGGCAAATTCGATCTCTAGCACTTTCGCGGTTACGTTTCGAGAGCGTTTGTGACAATATTATTCACGTTCCTTGCGATACACGGAGAATTGAGTTTCTCCGTGTATCGCAAGGAAATGATAAATTGTTGGCCATCCGGTCATTGCGAAAGTTGACTTCCATATTCGCAGATTGAAAACAGTAATTAGCATTACTATTTATTACCTACACAGACGATAACTTCAGTGCTGAGAACGGTATTATTGTGGTGCGCGCAACTCGCTGGCCTCTAGCCGTAGATCCTCAAGGGCAGGCGCTCATCTGGATTTCGCATCTTGAGGAGAAGAATGATATACAGGCAATTTTTACTAGTATCCACTTATTTAGTATGCATGATATAGGATAACGTTGCATATTAGCAAATTAAGTGGCTCTGTAATGCAAAAAAAAGTTGAACGTTTGACTCAATTTCATAAATTAAAATTTTCCCACGTAGACAGTTTTGCTGATTCTGATTTCGGATTCGGATAAATATTTGACACAGCGGGCTGGTATCCTCTCCTTAATAGGTACATGGATAATAATGAACTCTGCAACACTCGTCTAAAATTGATCATGGTCTAGAAAAAGTTCTCACTTTTCCGATTGGGTGGCTAAAAATCTACGCTTTGCTTTATCTCTATATCACTTTGTTCGTATTTACTTTACATCTGGATTGGTAACGAGTAGTTCACTCTCTATGGCTAGTATATTATTTAAGTGTCTCGTGATTTTTTGTGGTCCTCTCATATTTTTGACAATTTGTCATCGTAAAAGATTTTTGTCTATTTCTGATGGTGTATACACAATATCAGTATTGTAACAATTTAAATTTTATTATCCAGATCGTGGATTTCGGGCAGCCAAACTACCTGAAAATCATGGAAGCTTGTCTGTCTGGTGGGAAGCCCGTTATAATCCAAAATGTGGGCGAAGTGTTGGATCCATCTATAGCTCCCATTCTTGATAAAGCTATAGTTGTCATCGGAAGTTCTTTGGTTATCAAATTCAATGAGAAAATGGTGCCATACAGTAAGGATTTTAAGATGTATCTCACTACTAAACTGGGTAAGTCTTTGGAATTTTCTTCTAGTTAGTGTGTAGTGCATTAAACATCATTTTGTATTTCATTTAAACATTTCGTTAACGTCTTCATCTATAGTTGTATTACATTTGGGTCTGTAATCACATAGAACTTGAATTACAATAAAGATTTGCATACAAATGTGTAAAAATAAACCCATATTTTTAATTAATCCCCTTAACTGTGATCGATTAAGAGAAATACTTCTCTCTTTCTATAAATCTGAACTACAAGTATTACTACTATTATCAGTTTAAAATTGTATATACTCGTATTAAACGCCATTAATTTTTCTTTCTAAACATTGATTTGTGGTGAATTGTTAAATATTTTAGATAAATCTAGAGATTATATAATCTTAAATATTAAAGATAAATTCTCTTAGCTTACTAGTAATTTCAATGTTCTTGTTAAGTTCAGAGTAATTTAGGAGATATAAATTATCTTCTACTACGGTCGAAGCGATGATCCCTAAGGAACACCCCAAGTGTACAGTATCAAAAGCTTCACAAAATCCCATAAGCTAAGTAGATTGTAGGCGATTGATAATACTAATTATAACAATAACTACAAAAAAATCGATCGCTAGTTCGCAAATTCGAATCAAACCGTTAGTTTCATTCATTCACTTTGCCATACAAAATTGGTCTGTTTTTTTGGTAAACTTAAGTCTATTCTTGATTGATGTTGGTAGTAGTAAGTGAATAGTTACTGATTTGGAAACTGCTAGTTCATTCATTGAGTTTGTCATAACAAAAAAATAACGTTTGTGTCGTTTTTCGAGTTTTCCGGTTTTCGAGAAATCATGAATTTCAAACGAAACCACACAAAATCTCCGAAGTTCTCAATTAATTAAATACATTTTTTTTAAATCAGGTTTTGGTGAACATTTGGTTCACTGGTTTGCTAATACTTACTAATTTCCGAGTACTTTCAAAAGTGTCGATGGTTTGATGTTTCAATTTTCTACACGAACTTGGGTATTTTTTGTCAGTATATAGTTCATTATTAGATGGAGAGGTTATGGATACTCAAAAACATAAACTAGTAGTGATGAATTTTGAATCGGAAGGTATTAGATAACGCAATAAGGCAATTATTAACCTCTCTTTCTTTTTTAAATACTAATGAATTGTAAGGTTATTCGAATTATTTGAGTGATAGTCCAGTCAAATTACGGAAAAAAGGGCTAAAAAAACATGAGCGAGCACAGTTTGGGGATTTTGAGGATCGATAGGGGGGTGCATCCTGAGCTTAAGTTCCAATTTGAGGGGCTGTACTGAGGTCAGCTCAAGGTCATTTCGATGCAAACGCGTTTAATTCGATATCTCGAGAAATATCAGTGTTAGCCAAAAAATTATAGAGACCTTTTTTCTTCTAAATGAAATTTATTAACTTTTTTAATTAAAACTTTTTTTTGTAACATCAATATTTTTTAAGTTATTACTCCCGCAAGGCAAAAATTTCATTTTTTTCCCTATTTTTCGTCGTTTTCTCACCAAACATTCAATTTTATTGAATTTTACCGATCATCAACGTGTATATCTTTTAATTATGCACAATTTTGTTCTTAAACTTTTTTCTGTAACTTCAATACCTTCGGAGTTATATATTATTTTACCGAGCGAAATCCACGCCACTGTCGCAACGTGTATCCACAGATACATTGTTGCGTGTATTAGTGCGGGTAAGGAACATCTGTCCTCGATTTTTATACCTGGGGTAACCCTCGTCCTACGAAATCTATTTTTTTTTTTTTTGTGTGAAACAGTTTTAATTGTTAATTTACTTGTTACCCAAACAAACCCATAAATTTACCCAAATTAAATACCCAATTTTTAAATAGTTTAATCGATTTACCCTTTTATATTGCGACAGTGGCGTGGATTTCGCTCGGTAAAATAATACCTAACTCCGAAGGTATTGAAGTTACAGAAAAAAGTTTAAGAACAAAATTGTGCATAATTATAAGATATACACGTGTCAATAAAATTGAATGTTTGGGGAGAAAACGACGAAAAATAGGGAAAAAAATTAAATTTTTGCCTTGCGGGAGTAATAACTTAAAAAATATTGATGTTGCAAAAAAAAGTTTTAAATAAAAAAGTTAATAAATTTCATTTAAAAGAAAAAAGGTCTCTATAATTTTTTGGCTAACACTGATATTTCTCGAGATATCGAATTAAACGCGTTTGCATCGAAATGACCTTGAGCTGACCTCAGTACAGCCCCTCAAATTGGAACTTAAGCTCAGGATGCACCCCCCTAACGATCCTCAAAATCCCCAAACTGTGTTCGCTCATGGTTATTTGATTCCGTAATTTGACTGGACTATGAGTTCTATAGTCAATTTATTCGAATAATGTTGTCGATTTTGACATGATTCTCTAAACTTAAACTTAGATTTGACAACAGTGTATCCTTGTGCCAACAGTGTATACTCTATAGATAATGAAAAGGAGAGACTAAATTTAGTTTTAACTTTAGAGAATCATGCCAGAATCGACTCCAATTACATTCATAATTACATAAGGCAACCCCGTGTACACGCCGGAGACGTTGACCAAGACGACGATGGTAAACTTCGCGGTGAAGGAGCAGGGGCTCACGGCGCAGCTGCTCGGCATCGTGGTGCGCCGCGAGCGCCCGCAGCTCGAGCACATGAAGGACTCGCTCGTCATCACCATCGCCCACAACAAGAAAGTGCTGGTGAGACATCTTACGAACTAGCGCAGCAGGCTAAGCAGTAATCAATAGTAATAACAATAAATTATTCATTACTAGTGGCCCGCCCTCGCTTTGCTTCGGTGTAGAGCTGTAGTGTAAACTATAGTTTTTGTTCTCAGGCTTGTGCTATAAACAATGAGTTTATTTATATAATTACACGTGTTATTGTGAGTCAACCATAAAAGATAGACATATGCTGTTGCGGAATATTTTTTAGACAAATTTATGTAGAATATTTCCGTGATACATGATTTCTATGTAACTTTAACCATTAAGGCTGCATACGCGACGGAAGCTTAAAAATGGAGTAACTTCTCCCGTTTTCCCAACATTTCCCTTCACTACTCTGCTGCTATTGATTGTAGCGTGATGAAAAGTACACTATAACCTGCCCAGGAGTATGAAGAATAATTGTACCAAGTTTCGTTAAAATCCGTCGAGTAGTTTTTGTTTCTATAAGGAACATACACACAGACAGACAGACAAAAATTTTACTGATTGAATTTTTGTCATCAGTATCGATCACTAATCACCCCCTGATACTTATTTTGAAAATATATTTCATGTACAGAATTGACCTCTCTACAGATTTATTATAAGTATAGATTAAGGTAGTTCCCAAAGTGAGCCGAGTTTGTAGTAAAGAATTATTTTATAACACTCGAATCAATTAGCTGATTAAAGGTACAATTCCGCTATGGGCTGCAGGCGACAACCGCAGGCGACACTGCGGCTAGCGCTTGCGGCTGACCGTGCATTATATGCATTGTGCAGCCGCGGCATGTCGCCGCGCTCGGAATCAATTACATAGAGATTCATAGAAACTAGTAGTGTCGCCTGCAGTCTGCAGCTGCGGCCTGTGGTCACCGGTTCTGTTCGGAATTTTACCTTAAGCTCGAGCACATGAAGGACTCGCTCGTCATCGCCATAGCCAAAACCAAGGAAGTACTGGTAATGCACCTTAGAAAATAGGGGAGCAGACTTAGCAGCAAATTAATAATAGAAAACTCTAGGCCATAAAAGCCGGCTTATCAGCAGTGAATAATGATAAAAAATATGGATTAAATCACAACAGTTATTTATATAGTTAAGTAGTATCAAACTAAGCAGAGTTTGTAATATATTACATGAAGAACTCGCTCGTCTTTTCCATCGCCAATAACAATAAAGTGCTGGAGAGGCACCTTAGGAACTAGGGAGCAGACTTAGCAAAAGTGAATCATAGAAAACTCTTGGCATTAATAGCCGGATTATCAGCCAATGCTGGTAAAGCACCTTAGAAACTGGGGGATCAAGCTTAGCATCAGTGAATAGTAATAACAATACATTTTGGACAAGTTTCATTAGATTATTAAGATAGTCCCAAAGTAAGCTGAGTTCGTAATTACCAAATTCAAATAAGCTGATCTAGATCGAGCAATTGAAGTACTTTCTCCTCATTTCCACTGCCAATAATAAGAAAGTGCTGGTGAAGCATCTCAGAAACTGCAGTATTGACTTTCATATTACTATCAGCGTCATCGTCATTCGATTTAGAGGCAAAGGTAGGTAGGCAAATGACTGTACCCCACCTGATGTTAAGTGGTGATAAAGTCCAAACGCGAAGATAGCTGGTACAGCATTTATAAACTGCCACACCAACCATCCTCAACTTTTTTGCAGGCCGGCAGCATGCAAAAATGCTTCTTCACGCCTCTCATAAAGGACCCCAGATTGTAGGAAACAGGAAACACGTGCGCGGGCAAAGAATTCCACTTACTATAGTTTTTGATTCGATTGTAGTAGGACACGATGACGTTAACATTCCATCAAATAAATCTAATATTCGATATAATTAAGGCTATGAAGCAAATGCGAAGTAATTATTGGCATATGAAAACTGCTGTAATATTACCTATGGTAATAAAAAACAGCACTTACTACACTTCGAGTAGGTAACTAGAAAATATTTAGGGTGATCAGCGGCTCTGACGTCAGTATAGTTGGTCCTGTGATACAGAAAACTAGTCATCTAGCTCCCTATAATAACTAAAATGAATTGATTATTTTTAAAACACCAAAGCAGTAAATATCCAAACAATAGGGGTGATGACGGGGTACAGTAAACGAAATTCTATTTAGTCCATTAGTTAGATGATCAAAAAATAATGGACACGTATTTTTTCTTTGGGCAATCAACTAAAAAATGACAAAGTTATAGCGCGTCAAAGTTTGGGAGTAGGGGCTCGTGACGTCACTTTTGAGTGAATTTTCACTTATTAGTGTACTCAAACGTGACGTCATGCGACTTTTCAAATCAATATATCTCTGCAATTTTTTATATTATGTGAAAAAAGAAAAAATACGTGTCCAATACTTTTTGATAATCTACCTGATAAACGAAGAAAAAAAGTCGGTTTTACGGGCGAAGATTTTACGTGACAACGTCTTTTTCTCGGTAGAATATTTATTGATATGAATATAATTAAATTGCACAATAGGAACAAGGAATTGAATGAAAATAAGAATTGCACAAATTTTAACTATAGAAATATATTTTGTTTACTAAAACATTGTACATGTAAACTTAAACTCATCGTAACGTTACCGAGCGTTACACTTTTTCATAAGTGACTCCCAGCCGCAACCTAATTTAAGACGTTGTCACGTCAAAAATTAGTCATCATCCCTATTCTTGGCCACCACTTTCAGTGCTTAATTATTGGTGAACACGATTATCCAATGAACTGGATTCTATGTACTGAGCAAGTACATACGTCGTCGTCGTCGTCGTACGTCTAATTTAGAACAAATATAAAAAAACATGCAACATTTTCAATGTTGAAACATGTTATACTTGTTTTTTTTTATTATCTCGCAAAACCAGTTTCCCTAATCCCGGTTCAAAATTATGGATATCTTTTTTAGGCAAGTGAATTTTAATTTCAAAGACCCCTAGAGCAACTTAGATACGTGACGAAATCTACCGGTTCATTTATATATTTCGATGAACGTGTAGATGGACTTGGAGAACGACCTGCTCCGCATCATGTACGAGTCGCAAGTGCCTCTGCTGGAGAACGAGGAGTTGTTTGTAACGCTGCAGACGTCGCAACGTACTTCGCTCGAAGTTAAAGAAGCTCTGATTACGTCACAGGAGACAGAGAAGGAAATAGACGCGGCCAGACAGGTGATGTGCGATGAATCAAAGCTTAAAATCATCATCAAGTTATTAGTTTCTTCTTCTTCTAGCGGTGCCTGTCGACTACTGGAGCTTGACCGCCAGCTCTGCGTCTTCATCCTTATTTCTTGCCAGACGAAATAGTAAGGTTGTCATAGTCGTTGTATCCTCTATTTTGCCAACCACCTTACTAATATTATAAATGAGTTCGAATGTGAGTGCATTTGTTTGTTACGCTTTCACGCCTAAACCGCTGAACAGATTTTGATGAAATTTCGTACGCATAATAATATAGTTTATGACCTAGATTGAGAGAGATGAGATACTCTTTATCCCGGAAAAGTGTTAGGTTCCTGAGGGATTTTATAAAAAAGTATAGTTGACGCGGACGAAGTCGCGGGTGGCCGCAAGTATAATTTAAATTTTATTATATTATTTATCCATGAATTCAATACCTTAAGGAGTAGCGGTTGTTCCCCAATATTCGCCATCTTGAATGACAAGCTTTTCGCTGACGATTCTCGTTGACGTCTTATTATTCGAACCCTCTTTACCGACGACTACAATCGCAATGTTCTGACCTCTTCTTGGCTTGACATACGCATTTGAATGTTTCATCGGTTATTAACATTAACACAGATAACTCTACAAGACGAAATTCAGTTAACTTCTTTGGCTACTATTTTCTAAACTGCTTTAAACACACAGGGCTACGTACCAGTGGCGGTGCGAGCTTCCGTCCTATTCTTCGCGTTGAACGACCTGTCGCGCATCGATCCCATGTACCAGTTCTCTTTGGACGCGTACATAGATCTCTTCAACTACTCCATCGACCGAAGCCCCAAGAGTACCGAATTGGAAGACCGCATCAACAACCTCAACGAGTTCCACACTTATGCGGTCTACAAGTTAGTCTAAAGTTGATATATATTCGGTAAAATTTACAGCATGATCAATAGGTTCAATACTTACGCAGTCTACAAGAGGGTCCAGAGTTAGCATCTTCGGTGGATTTTACAGCTGTAACAACGAGTTCCACAATTCATACATTCTGGTCGCGTTGAACGACCTGTCGCGCATCGATCCCATGTCACCATCATCATCATCAGCCTATTAATGTTCCCATTGCTGGGACACAGGCCTTCCCTATGAATGGAATAGGGAGATTGGGCCATGACCCACCACGCGGGCCCAGTGGGAATTGGTGGGTGCGAACGACTGCAGATGCAGCCGGGACCAACGGCTTAACGTGCCTTCCGAAGCAGGGAGGAGCTCCAGATAGTAAATTTTTGGTCACCCATCCAATGACCGACCACTGCGAAAGTTGCTTAACTTCAACGATCGCAGCCGAACGCGCTAACCACTTGCGCCATCGAGTTCCTCTCGATCCCATGTACCAGTTCTCTTTGGACGCGTACATTGATCTGTTCAACTACTCCATCGACCGAACCCAAGAGTACTAAGCTAGAAGACCTCATCAATAACCTCAACCAGTTCCACACTTATGCGGTCTACAAGGTAGTCTAAAGTTGATATATATTTGGTAGATTATACCGAACAACACACGTCCACACCTGTCCACTTTTGCTTATAAACTAAATGTTTCATCTTGCTGTCCATTCAGGGTGGAGAATACGACAACATGTATCTGAAACAATGTGTTTTTTTTTCTAAATTGTATGCAGAAGGTGATGCACTATTGTGAAATACTGTTTATAAAAAGTGTTAACAAACAAATGTTGCTTAATGAATACGCAGCTTTAAAGTTAAATTAAGTTGGTGCACACTCACGCTTAGTAATCATTAAAAAAAGTTGGGCATCTTAGAGAGATTTTACGCAATGTGACAGTGTGGCGGCGACACCTATATGCCCCACAGATATACAACGGATGTAGGAAATCATTACTCACCATCCTCAAGAGATGGCGTTACCTGCCCTGCGATCAATATTAGTATGGAAGCCTACATCGCGCAAATGAAATTCGAAGGCTAACTCTTCATATATACGATGCCCGACCAATATCAGTCGGGCCGCGGCCCCCGAGCTACCATCACCCAGCTCGGAGGAAGATCTTCCCCTTTGGCTTCCCTAACACTGGTGACCCCGACGTGATGCAAAATTTGCATTATTTGCTTTGATTGGCAAAATTTCTTTCCTAGGAACACATGTCGCGCGCTATTCGAACGCCACAAGTTGCTGTTGTCCTTCCACATCGTGTCGCGGATCCTCTTCCAGATGGGCAAGATGAGCATGCACGAGTACCTGTTCTTGCTCAAAGGCGGAGTGGTGTTGGACAGGTCTGAGCAGCCCGACAACCCCACCAGTTAGTTGAATTGAGTCTCGATTTATTGAACGCCTTGTTTGGGACCAAGGGTCAGCAAAAGTTCTCGGCAAATTGGGATTCGTTGAAATGATAAAAGTTTACTAGAAAAAATCCACGCGGACCAGGCAGCGGACGGGACTCGAACCCGCACCCTTCGCAATCCGGGCGAATGCACTGACCATTATATAGGGCCGTGGTAGCATAATGGTCAGTGCATTCGCCCGGATTGCGAAGGGTGCGGGTTCGAGTCCCGTCCGCTGCCTGGTCCGCGTGGATTTTTTTCTAGTAAACTTTTCTTTAGATTTAAACATCTAGCAGTTAAATGCTTAAAAAATAAATAAAATCATAACTATAATTCCTATTTGTTCTTTCAAATGTTCTCTCTAACTTCGTACTTAAACTAATGTATTTCTTAAAATAAACATAACAAATCAAACAGAATCTTGAACTGAATCCTTGATCTTTTATCTATTCATATAGGAAACTACTTATAGAAACGCACTGCAGCAATCTATACCGCGATTACAAGGACGTAACGTGACATCTATTAACTAAATAAAGAACTAAAGTTGTTATTATGTGAAACTAAGAAACTCAAACCATAGTGCGAGTAACAATAACTACAGCGCCATCTTGCTTCTAATAAAAGATCTAAATGAACTTGAACACGCATTCCATTAGGGAAGGTTAATAATTGCTATTGTGATAGTTTATTACCTAGATTGAGACATAGGATAGTTACTTTTTATCTCGGAAAACTGTTAGGTTGCAGTTCTCTTCTCAAATAACTATATAACTAACTATAACGCTTACGTCATCGCGAGCGCAAGTTTCTTTATTCCTACTTAATATTATAAATGTGAAAGTTTGTATGTTTGTTACTCAATCACGGAAAAACTTCTGTACGAATTTGCATGAAATTTGGTACGTATATAGTTTACGACCAGGAGCTCTACTCTCTTTTTCCGAAACGAAATTTCGGCAACGACCGAATTTTAAACGAAATTTCGCCAATGACTATTCTATTTCATCTTCGAACACGCACAGAAAGTTCGTAATCACAGACAATTATCGTGAACGAATGCAATGAGTTATGTTTATGAGTTCTTTTTGTCTACATTTTATAGATAACGTTTTTTACTTCAAAACAATATTATTTTATGACAACATTTTTCATTACATTAAGGTAGCTTTCCAATTACAGCATTATAGCGCAATATGCGGCATAATGCTTAACGTTGAGAGTTTCAACTACAGCAACGCTTCGCACAATCGAGCACTCTCAAAACTAATGCTTTCGTGTGATGTGTGCAATCATACCAACTCAGAGACAGAAAATTAACAAGTGTTTTAAGTTGGCATTGATCGAAATGTTTTATTTATATATTATCGTTAGTAATATTATTTATTGTTGAAAAATTCATTGTAGTTTTTTTAAATAATCAAAGTTAATTCAAACTGTGTTAAAAAATTAAATATAAATATGGATGAAGGTACAAACATTGACTTTTTTTTTCAACACTGAACTTAGCGCACTCACGTAGTTCCTCACGCTAAGCAGCCTTTAATTAAAAATACTCTAGTAGTAATTTTAGATTAAACAAAAAACGAAAATGAAAAGGTAACACTTTCCATTTTGTTAATTTGAGGTTAAAATATCGAACAATTATCTGTCAAATTCAACTTTTAGTTCAAAAGTTTTGTGAATTAGAGGTTGCTTTCCAATTACAGAGCATAATGCGACTCAGTGCCGCACAATGCCGAATTATGCTGATGCTTAATTAGAACGTGAATTAGTTTTCAAATGCACCAGCAGAGTGCGCTAAGTTCAGTGTTGAAAAAAAGTCAATGTTTGTACCTTCATCCATATTTATATTTAATTTTTTAACACAGTTTGAATTAACTTTGATTATTTAAAAAAACTACAATGAAACGAATGTTTTAATAATTTTTCAACAATAAATAATATTACTAACGATAATATATAAATAAAACATTTCGATCAATGCCAACTTAAAGAAAAAACACTTGTTAATTTTCTGTCTAAGTTGGTACCATTGCTCGCATCACACGAAAGCATCACTTTTGAGAGTGCTCAATTGTGCGAAGCGTTGCTGTAGTTGGAACACTCAACGTTAAGCATTATGCCGCATAATGCGCTATAATGCTGTAATTGGAAAGCAACCAGAGTAGGCTTGGAGAATTTAAATGTCAAACTATTTTCGGATGAACGAATTCTCGAAATGAAATGGAAACAGTAAGGAACGTGCGAAATTTCGTTTTTCGTTGAAATAGAGAAGGCCTCCTGGATTGACACTTTTTATGCCGGAAAATTTTACGGATTCCTGTGGGATTACGGAAAAACTAAAGTTGACGCGGACGAAGTCCTAAATCACGGTGAAATTTGGTACGCATATACTTTATGACCTGGATTGAGACTTAGGATACTTTTTGTCCCGAAAAATTATATGGGTTCCTATGGGATTATGACAAAACTAAAGTTGACGTGGACGAAGTAGCAGGCGGTCGCTAGTGATTCATAAATTAATGTAGACTGGATGCCGGACGAGTGCTGGGACAACATAACGGAGCTGGACAAGTTGCCCGGCTTCCACGGCGTCGGGGACTCGTTCGAGGTCATGCCCAAGGAGTGGCGGGACTGGTACCTCCACCCTGAGCCTGAGCTGCAACCACTGATTGGTATGAAACCCAATATTAATAATGTCAATATTAAGAAATAAATGTTTCCAACATAAATAAATAAATATTTCCAACACACACACCAATTAGCCTATAAATTGTCTCGGCTCTCTTAAAAATGTCACAGTAGCGGATACAGTAAAATAATTACTGGACATTGGACATGCCTAACCTGAAAACGAATTGTGTAACTCACTTCTTTAGGAATCACATAAACTAAATAGTTTGGGAAGAGATTATACTGCTTATAGAATAATAAGAATGTGTGCAGATCGGTGGATGCTAACGCTATCCTATGACCAGCCACAGCAAAAGTTGCTTAAAATCCACGATCAACACAACCATTTTTTTTAATTTTGAGTGTGAATGCTGTTCGTCGCAGATGACCTTTACAGCGTCACCGGGTTTGGGGACGGCGAGATCCTAAGAAGATCTCAAGCCGAGATTTGGTGAGTGCCTCTAGAGGTATTCCAGGCGGATGGCATCTCCCCCCTCCGTCTGGAGCCTCTAGACCACTCGTACTTGAGAGGGTCGGCTTAACTAGAGGGCGTCTCTGAGACTTGGACCTCGGCTCTAGTCAGCCGTTGTCGTGGGGGGCGGGGAAAAATGCCCAGGTACTACGTACCTGTACCTGATATAGCGTGTCGTGTGTAGACCGGGTCTTCGCACTCTTATCCTACGGGTGCGGTGTCTGCTTAATGCTAAGCTAGCGTACAAGTTTGAAAGCTGCGTAGTGATGGTGTTGACCTGTGTGGAGGGTTATTTCTTCGTCGGGGTATTCTAAGACGTGCTTCGACCTACGAGAGGAGGACGGCAGAGCGGACATATGATGACGCGGAAGAATCCCTAAACGGGGATCCCGCGGTTTCGCACTAAGCAGCTTGTAGGGTATTCGCAGGGTTTTTTAGCGGATATTATGCCGTAAAGCGCCCGTAAGGGTTACGGGGTCCTTAGTGGTAGTCCAGCCACTGTGGGGGCTCGTAAGGCTTGCGGGAGCCAGGTGTGAGGTCCGTTCGCCGGTGTGCCTCTTAAAGGCGCCGTCGTCTGTAAACAGAATTTTAGCCTGCGTCACAAAAAAAAGGGCGGACATATGATAAGGTACAAATCCGACCTGGTATAGCGTGTCGTAACAGTCAACCACTACGCCATCCAGCACTTTAAAACGTTCAAGTTGCCCAATTATTCCGCTGTTCTGTATTGGTCAGGTGATTGGAACGAAGTGTGCAACGATTTCCAACGCATCCTGTTCGTGCGATCGTTGCGCGTGGACCGCGTGTCCGCCTGCATCACCAGCTTCATAGTCAACGTGCTCGGACCCAGATACGTGGAGCCACCCGTTCTGGACATAAAGGTTTTTTTTAAACACACACCAATTAGCCTAGCCCCAAAGTAAGCACCTGTTCTTTGTTTCCCTGTTTCGTTGCTGTAAAAGAACAAGTAGAGATAAAAATGGTGTGTTCAGAGATCAGTCATAAGAGGTATTCATTTACATATATAAAACTCAAAGGTGACTGAGTGACATAGTGATATATCAACGCACAGTCCAAACCACTGGACAGATCGGGCTGAAATTTGGCATGCAGGTAGATGTTATGACATAGGCATCCGTTAAGAAAGGATTTTGATCAATTCTACCCCGAAGGGGATAAAATAGGGAATGACAGTTTGTATGAAACTTTGTCAATTTTAAACCGATCGGGCTGAGACTTTGCATGCAGGTATAAGAAGAATCTTGGGGTGTAAATGGGGTGTAAGGGGTTCTAAATACACCTGCAAGAACCCAAGCCAACCTCACCTTCACGTGGTGTACCCTGTTGACCAACAGACGAGGCTCTGGCAAACCGACCGATGGCGGTATAACCATCCAATGACGTAGGGGAGGAAAATGTCACTGGTGACGGGCAACAGCGTCATCAGTAAATAAACCTACGCTCTGCGATTGCCAACCCGCCTGTCCAGCGTGGCGATTATGGGCAAAACCTTCATGCACAAGAAACTCAAGCCACGGCCCTCAGTTCCCGGCAGTCCCGCTATTCCTGGTCACGGTGGCGACCACGGTAACGGTGGGGCGGGGGGTGCCAAGAATCTCCGGGCTACGGGAGGCCACCACAAAAGACTGACCCTGGCGACGTACAACGGACGCACGCTACGGCTTGACTCGCATCTGGCGCAACTCGAGGTGGAACTTGGAAAGATTAGGTGGCACATTTTAGGGTTAAGTGAAGTCCGAAGAGAGGGGGAGGACACCATAACCCTCGAATCGGGCCACCTAATGTACTTCCGCGGGGGAGACCAACAGTCCCAAGGTGGCGTTGGGTTTTTGGTAAATAAGTCCCTTGCCGATAACGTTGTGGAAATGTCCAGCGTGTCGAACAGGGTAGTGTACCTTATTATAAAGCTCACCGAGAGGTATAGCCTCAAGGTGGTGCAAGTGTACGCACCGACCTCGACACACTCGGACGACGAAGTGGAGGATATGTTCGATGATATGTCGAGGGCCCTCCACTCCACTACTAAGACCCACTCACTACAACGTTGTTATGGGGGACTTCAACGCTAAAGTGGGAGTACAGAATTGCAGTGAATCGGTAGTAGGATCCCATGGATTTGGAAGCAGAAATCATAGGGGGCAAATGCTCGTCAACTTCCTCGAACAGCAGGGGCTCTTCTTGATGAACTCTTTTTTCAAGAAACAGCCCCAAAGGAAGTGGACATGGCAGAGCCCCGACACTATGACTAAAAATGAGATCGATTTCATCATGACGGACAAGAGGTACATATTCAGAGACGTCTCCGTGATCAACAGGTTCAATACCGGAAGTGATCACCGACTCGTCCGGGGCTCTCTGAATATCAACTTTAAGGCCGAGCGCGTCCGTTTAATGAAATCCAGGCTCCAATCTATAACAGGATCTGAAACGTTCCAGTCAAATCTGGAGAACCGATTTGCTGCCGTGGAAACCACATCAGACGTAAACCAAAACCTCGAAAATGTGGTTCGAATTCTCAGGGAAGAGGGTACGAAACTATGTGCAACGCAGCGTAAGGGCAGGAAGTCAAAGCTTTCGGAAGAGACTTTAGGGCTAATGAAGGAACGACGTGAAAACCCACCCGTCACTTCGTCGGCAAAGCGGACTCTAAACCAAGAGATCAGTAAGCACGTACGACACGACCTCCGATGCTCCAATACTCTCTCGATCGAGAGAGCGATCGAGCAGAATCGAGGGTTCAAAGTGTTCGTACAATCTCTTGGAAGAAGCCATCTGACGAAGTTGACCACAGCAAGTGGAGAAGTTGCTGTTTCAAAGCCGGCAGTCCTTTCGGAAGTGGAAGACTTCTACAGCCAGTTATACGCATCACATGCATCTAGAGCCACATTAACACGCCACTTCACCGAAGACCTGCCAGAAGTCAGTATTGGCGAAATCGAGATTGCTCTTGGACAGCTTAAAAATGGAAAAGCCCCTGGAGAGGATGGTGTTACAACAGAACTCTTGAAGGCTGGAGGTAAACACGTACTGAGGGAGCTCCAAAAGCTTTTTAACACTGTCCTGTTCGAAGGGAGAACTCCTGAGGCGTGGAGTAGGAGTGTGGTCGTCTTGTTCTTTAAAAAGGGGTACAAGACCCTACTTAAGAACTATCGACCCATATCCCTTCTAAGCCACGTCTATAAGCTGTTCTCAAGAGTGATCGCGAACCGTCTTGCGCGAAGATTTGATGACTTCCAACCACCGGAACAGGCTGGGTTTCGGAGCGGATACGGCACCATAGACCACATCCACACAGTGCGCCAGATTATACAGAAGACTGAGGAGTACAATCAGCCCCTGTGCCTAGCATTTGTGGATTATGAGAAGGCCTTTGACTCGATTGAAATCTGGTCTGTCCTGGAGTCCCTGCAGCGTTGCCAAGTCGACTGGCGATACATCCAAGTGATAAGATGTCTCTACGAAGCCGCCACCATGTCTGTCCAAGTACAGAATCAGCAAACAAGTCCCATACCGTTGCATCGTGGAGTGAGACAAGGGGACGTTATTTCCCCGAAATTGTTCACTAATGCAATGGAGGATATGTTCAAGACGCTGAACTGGAAACGACATGGCATCAACATAAATGGCGAACGCATCTCTCACTTGCGATTTGCAGACGACATCGTCATCATGGCAGAAACCCTGCAGGACCTACAACAGATGCTGAATGACCTGGCTGACTCTTCTATACGCATCGGCCTACGGATGAACTTGGATAAAACCAAGGTCATGTTCAATGAACATGTTCTACCGGAACCGATTGCAATACACGGTGCCGTTCTCGAAGTTGTTCAAAAATATGTATACCTCGGGCAGACATTGCAGTTAGGTAGAAACAACTTTGAGGACGAGGTGAATAGAAGAGTTCAGCTAGGTTGGGCAGCATTTGGGAAGCTACGTCAAGTCCTGACATCGTCGATCCCACAGTGCCTAAAGACGAAAGTCTTCAATCAGTGCGTCCTACCTGTGATGACATACGGAGCCGAGACGTGGACACTGACGGCACGGCTGATCCACAGGTTCAAAGTCGCTCAACGCGCCATGGAAAGGGCTATGCTCGGCGTTTCTCTGAAAGATCGCATCAGAAATGAGGTAATCCGACAGAGAACCAGAGTTATCGACATAGCCCACCGGATTAGCAAGTTGAAGTGGCAGTGGGCTGGCCATATTTGCCGAAGAACCGATAACCGTTGGGGTAGACGAGTTCTGGAGTGGAGACCGCGTCTAGGCAAACGTAGTGTAGGACGTCCTCAGGCACGATGGAGTGACGATTTGCGCAAGGTGGCTGGCAGGAGCTGGATGCGAGTAGCCCAAGATCGATCTGAGTGGCGTGCAATTGGAGAGGCCAATGTCCAGCAGTGGACTATGATAGGCTGTTGATGATGATGATGATGATAAGAAGAATCATAGATGAATGTCATTGTGTATAATACAAGCCTGAGAAGAAAAACTGTAGTCTACACTTCAGCCCTACACCGAAGCGAAGCGAGGGCGGGCCGCTAGTCTAAAAAAATATAATGAAAAATGAATATAATTGAATTAATACCATTTTTATAGAAAACAGGGAAACAAAGAAGCTTATGTTGAAGAAGAACTCTTTTACTTCCCGTTTTACTGGATTCATAGTTTATGTAACAAAATAGAATTCTGTAACCCATTTAACGCCCATGTGCAATAATTCTCTAGTTAACGCGCGGTCCAAATGGTATGGTGGCAAGCACCATAAGTAATGCCGCTTCAGTTGTCAGTTAGTAATGCTTCTATCATGAATTCAGGAACTAATCTTAAAAGACTTAGGCCCGTATTATAGAAATATTCTCAGTGATTGATCTAGTCTTGAGTATAGTTAGAAAGGGATGTCGCTATATAAAGCACATAGCGACATCCCTTTCTATCTATGCTCAAGACTTGATCAATCACTGAGAATCTTTCTATAATAAGGGCCTTAGATTAAAACAAAAAGGGAAGATACGGTACGCTCATACTAGCATCATATTAAATATAATCCGACTCAACTACATAAGCAACTCTCACACACGCAAACGTCTGTATTTATATTCTACAGACGTTTGCGTCAGACGACATCCAATCGAGCGAGCGAGACAGAACTACGCTTCAAAGCAGCGCGAGCGAAACGGCGAGTCAGCTTCCGAGTCTGTACGGCTGAGCTGTATTGTTGTCCTTTTCTTGATAACAAAATGGCGATTACGTAAATAACATTCACGACAAACCATGATTTTTGAGATTTTTTTTTCAGTTTTACGAATAAAAAGTGTTGCCATGTCATTTGTTTATTTATTTTGTACTATTTGTGTTCTTTATAAAAGCATCGAAGGCATTGTTTGATCTTTATAACACATAATATACGCAATATTGTTATATTGAGTGCACATGCACCGTGTTTGAATGCCCAATTGTGACTAAAGCGAATTGTGGTCATGCACCACAATTTAAGCGGATCACTTTTGAGCCGCGAGTGCCGTATCTTCCCTTTGTGTTTTAATCTAAGTTCAAACATGGTGATTTCGCGAGGTATCTATCAGGTTTATTCAGAGGTCATTACAAGAGAATATCGCTTACACGTTGAAGAAAATCTCTTTTCCTCCCAAAGGTTGCAGGATTAAGCAATTTGCAGTTCCCATACAAAATGGGATGTATTTATGTTTGATTTAATAAACAAATTAAAATAGAAAAAACAAATATTTACATTTAGATATTTAATAATATCTACAGTAAAACTAGACAAAAATTAAAACTATGTTATGATACAAAAAATAGCTGCCCTAAGTCTTCCCCGTCGGGAAAGGTTCCCAGGATGCTAGTGACATTTCCCCGCTGAATGGCGAGGCTTATGTGCTTAAATGGGATACCTTTTTGGAAATTACTGTCCTTAACTAGGTATTTTGATGTTATGCAGCACCTTTGTACGCAATAAAAATATAAACTTTATTTTAAATTTGACGTTAATAGATTTATTTTATTAGTCCATGGTTGCGGGTTATAAGTTTTTAAACGCAGGACCGCACCTGTGTTACAACTTTGGAGAGGTGCAATGTATTTGTTTGTTAGGCCGCTTGGGAAGAGTCAACATGGAAGACATCTTTGTTGTTCGTGCTATCTCCTGGCGTCGACCCTACGTCCTCTCTGATCCAACTGGCTACTGATGTGAAGATGTTCGACAAGTTCCACTCTCTCAGTTTGGGCCAGGGGCAGGCACCTACTGCCGCCAGGTAAGTCTCATCATCATCATCAGCCTATCAATGTCCGCACTGCTGGGGCACAGGCCTTCGCTATGGATGAAATAGGGAGATTGGGCTATGACCCACCACGCGGGCCCAGTGCCGATTGGTGGGTGCTAACGTCTGCAGGTGCAGCCGAGACCAACGGCTTAACGTGCCTTCCGAAGCACGGAGGAGCTCCGGACAATAGATTTTTGGTCACCCATCCAAGCGGCCCGCCCTCACTTCGCTTCGGTGTAGAGCTGAAGTTTAGACTACAGTTTTTGTTCTCAGACTTGTATTATACACAATGACATTCATCTATGATTCTTCTTATACTTGCATGCAAAGTCTCAGCCCGATTTGTTTAAAAGTTTCATACAAACTTTCATTCCCTATTTTATCCCCTTGGGGGTAGAATTGATCAAAATCCTTTCTTAGCGGATGCCTACGTCATAACATCTACCTGCATGCCAAATTTCAGCCCGATCCGTCCAGTGGTTGGGCTGTGCGTTTAAGGATCACTATGTCAGTCGGTCACCTTTGAGTTTTATATATACAAATAGAAAACCTGTTGGAATGATTGGAACAGTTCAAATCCAAGCATTTTTGTCAGACACTTTGTAATAAGCTTTTTTAATAAGTGCTTTTTTTATACTATATACAGGTTGCTATCGCAAGGTATGAAGGAAGGCGGCTGGGTGTTCCTGGCTAACTGCCACTTGGCCTGCGCGTGGCTGGGGTCCTTGAGAGGGCTGGACAACCCGCGCATACATCCGCGCTTCAGGCTGTGGCTATCTTCGATGCCTGATGACAAGTTCCCGTTAAACGTTCTGCAGCGGTCTATTAAGATGACCACGGAACCGCCGCAGGTGAGTATTGGATGATTCACCGTAATGGCGCGATAGCACTTGAACGTTAGCCCGAATACGATCCAATAGAATTCGGGTAAACGACTAAGTGTAAATGAACGGAGTCGAATAAGCCGTATTTGGGTAGATTTTCCTTTGTATACCCGACACCGTCTTCCAGCGCGTATTCTAGTGCAAATATTGCTTCGGATGCCCGAAAACGGGCTAGCGACCAAATGTAGAAACGTGTTTATTCGAACTTACTTTGAAACAAATATGGGTAAAATCTTGTGTTGAAGATAGCAGGCGCTACATCATTCACCCACATCTTTCAGATTTGCCTAACCCCTATCCTTTTACTTTGTTGTGTATAAACTTTTTGATTTCTATTTCGTTTTTTCTGGACCCTGTTCATTTCAGCCAGCTCTGTGGCCGGGTGAAATAAACAGGGCCCTACCTTAGGCCCTGAACAGGGCCACTAAAAACCAGACAATACTCCCGCATGAAAATTTGGAGCAGGATTCACAATCAAGTAACGAGGGCTTTTCAGGGAATCTTGTATGAGAATTAAATTTTGTTAGCGGGTTTATCCAGATATAAGTACAGTGTTTTAGGACCCACGTGGTTTTGCAGTGTAAACTCGCGTTCCCCTAGAAGACAATAGTAAAATTTTATACACAAATAAAAACTAACTAAGACTATTAATGCCAGGGTCTAAAAGGCAATATGGTGCGCTTATTCGCCAACCTGAACGAGGACAAGTTCGACGAGGCGACGCCCAAGTACCGCCGCCTGCTGTACTGCGTGGCGTTCTTCCACTGCACTCTCATCGCCAGGAAGAGGTTCAGACAGCTCGGATACAATGCCGTCTACAGCTTTAACGACGCTGATTTCGATGTGAGTTCGACGCTTATATTATAGTCGATATACTAGTATAAGCCCAACAGAGTCTGCTGTACTGTGTGGCGTTCTTCCACTGCACTCTCATCGCCAGGAAGAGGTTCAGACAGCTCGGATACAATGCCGTCTACAGCTTTAACGACGCTGATTTCGATGTGAGTTCGACGCTTATATTATAGTCGATATACTAGTATAAGCCCAACAGAGTCTGCTGTACTGCGTGGCATTTTTCCATTGTACTCTCATCACCAGGAAGAGGTTCAGACAGCTCGGATACAATCCCGTCTACAGCTTTAACGACGCTGATTTCGATGTGAGTTCGACGCTTATAGTAAAGTCTGTATACTTGTATAAGCCTAACAGAGTCTGCTGTACTGTGTGGCGTTCTTCCACTGCACTCTCATCGCCAGGAAGAGGTTCAGACAGCTCGGATACAATGCCGTCTACAGCTTTAACGACGCTGATTTCGGAGTGAGTTCGACGCTTATAGTAAAGTCAGTATACTCATATAAGCCCAACAGAGTCTGCTGTACTGTGTGGCGTTCTTCCACTGCACTCTCATCGCCAGGAAAAGGTTTAGACAGCTCAGATACAATGCCGTCTACAGCTTTAACGACGCTGATTTCGATGTGAGTTCGACGCTTATAGTAAAGTCTGTATACTTGTATAAGCCTAACAGAGTCTGCTGTACTGCGTGGCGTTCTTCCATTGCACTCCATCGCCAGGAAGACGTTCACACAGCTCGTATACAATGCCGTCTACAGCTTTAACGACGCTGATTTCGATGTTAGTTCGACGCTTATAGTAAAGTCGGTATACTCGTATAAACCCAACAGAGTCTGCTGTACTGCGTGGCGTTCTTCCACTGCACTCTTATAGCCAGGAAACGGTTCCACCAGCTCAGATCTATAGCTATCAAGAATGCATGTGGTTTTATTTTCACATTTCACGAGTTTGCTTCTTTCAGTTATATTTATTATTAAAAATAAAACAATATCTACTTTTAGTATAATATCATATCTCCAATATTTAATATACTTTTCCTTCATGTGGTATGACCGTGAGACGCCCTGTATACTCTGACAGATGTCTACAATCACTTGAATATTCTGGCCGTTTACATATATGTTTGAAACAATTAACCCTTTAATTGTTTCAAACATATGTTCTTGTGAAAATCTTCGTTGAAAATTCTAACAAATCTAACGGATGGTGAAAACTTCAAATAAAACCGTTCGGTTCTTTTTGATATTATAGCGAACAAACACACTTTTAACTTTGTTTAATAATAATTTAGAATTACGTACAATGTTATCATTAGTAAATAACAAAAGAATCCGATCCGCCATATCTCTTATCTAATAGACAAGTCCGTCCGTCCGTGGTCTTGTTTCAGCGGCCAAACCGTAAGAGATAGATAAAGAGAATGTTTAAGTTATGAGTTAAGAATAGTCTGATAAGACTACAAACCGGATTTGAGTAACGTAGCACTTCCGGTTTTCGAGAAATCACGTGATTTCTATTTCAAACGAAACCACACAAAATCTCCGAAGTTCTCAATTAATTAAATACATTTTTTTTTTGGTGAACATTTGGTTCACTGGTTTGCTAGTATAATATTAATTATAGCATACAATCAGCCGTCCTTCTTATCCTAGGTATCAGACAATCTCCTGGCCAATTACCTTGAAGAATACGAAGAGGTCCCGTGGGACGCGCTCCGATACTTATTCGCCATCATCAACTACGGCGGCCACATCACCGACGACTGGGACAAGAGAGTGCTGGTCGCCTACATCAACCAGTTCTTTTGTGAAGAAGCCTTGGATACACCCTTCTACAGGTTTGAAAGAAAGAAACATATATATATATATCAATGATTTGATTCCACTTGCGAATATTCATTGCTATGCAACGATAGTACAGTGCATGCGAAATACTTTGGACACGCAGTGGCTGGACAGGTAGAAACCATGGAGAAACGAGGGAATCTTGTCGTTGAACTCAATCAGGCTTTGGACCACATTTATACAGATATACCGCATTCTACCGACTATACCACGGCGAGTGTTCTGAGGAGCTATTCTCGCTTATCCCTCCATCACCTTTTCTTCAGAGGACCACGCGCGCTGGCCTACGTTGCCACCGACTTACTGTGGCCACTATTCCTACACGAACAAAGAAATTTGGTGACTCATTTCTTTGTCGTACTAATTAACGTGGTGGAATTCTTTACCCGCGCACGTGTTCCCTCCTTCCTATAATCTGGGGTACTTTAAGAGAGGCGTGAAGAAGCATTTTTGCAGGCCGGCAAGGTGAGTTGCAGTTTATAACTGCTGTACCAGCTATCTTCGCGACCAAACGCGTCCAACGCGTCCAAAAGTCCAAACTTTATCACCACTTAACAACAGGGGGGGGTAGAGTCATTTGCCTACCTCGCTATAAAAAAAAACCAAAAACATTAATTGATGTGAAAAGTCTTTTGGCGCACGTAAAACCGATTCCAGGCGTGGCGACGCTGGTAATATGCAATAGTACCAGTTAGCGGTCGGTCGTTCTCAAAATTTCTGACGACGAAACGCAACCGTTTTTTCTTAAACGAAAACTAGTCCTCGAAACGGTTCTCGTCCGCAACTGGTTTTGGTTGCGGCTGGGTGACGCAATGAAACGACACGCGACGGTCGAAAGAATGTAGCGCAACGAAACTGAACTAAATGAAATCTTGTTAACGTTCGTTTCGTTGCTGCGAACGAGACGACGAAACATCGAAATAAATGTTGTGTTATACGATAATCGACTTTAAATGTTCAATAATAAAGATTATATTTAATTGTAAAATCAACGCTTCATTATCATAGAACGAAACGGCCTCATATCATTGCGTTCTATTATAGACTGTATTTACTTGGACATAAAGTACATATTGGCGTGCAGACAATCCGAGGCCTAGTTGTTCGACGAAGACTGTTTTGATCCGAAACGTAAAACGGTTCCATCGTCGCGGAACACAAAACGGTCCTTGAAACCGGTTCGTCTTTAGAACGCTCACACCTAGTACCAGTGCTCAACTACTCGCCGATTAGTACGGCGGGCGCCAGCGTCCTTCGAGACAGGACCTATGTCATATTTTACCGCACGCATCCCGAGCAATACTCCGAGTGTATTTATCGTAAACCGGCTAGTGTTACACATCTGCCAGGTGTCCCGTGACGGCTCACATTTTTTTTTACACAGATACAAGACAGGAAATACACGATTTTTAAGAAGATGTGTGTGTCTGTGGTGTTCTAAAACATTTGGAAATAATAATATTGCATTTTCATTTTATCATTAAAAATAAATAATACAAAAGGCACTTTTGTGTGAGAATAATATTAAATAACAATAACCTACTGCCAGTCAAATATCTCGTAATATTTGTACTCCACCCTTCCGTAGTCGTGTGATTCAGCATTCAGTTGATTCATTCAACTTTTTTTTTCTCCATCTATCTACGAGATTTTACGTAGGCACGTATTTTTTTATTTATTCGCACAATAAAAACATTACAGGGATGTATTGCTTTGAAATGTCGCATGATGTTACGTCTTGGTACAATTTTTACTTAGAAGTGACGTCACGAGACCCTTAACTTTGACCAACTTTGCCAGGGGCCCCTCAACTTTGACGCACTTAATCTTTGTAATTTTTGGTTGATTGACTAGGGAAAAAAACGTAAAAATTGTCTTTCGTCCTGTTCGTTTATTTTACCCCGTTTTTATCAATTTTCTTTAATACTTAAGAGTATTAAAGAAAATTGATTTAGATTTTACTTTTAGATTAGATTTACTTAGATTTCGCATAGAGTATGGTCCAATTGATACTAATCAGTTATTGAGTTAGCGGAAACTTCATATAAAAATGATAACACGATACACAATACAATTGCTATGTGCAAATATCGCCGCTACAGAATGCAATTACAGACTATCTTCGATTCCCGCGTACCACATTCCTCGGGACGGCAGCTTGGAGTCGTACCGCGACTTTCTGGATTTGTTGCCGCCTTCAGAGAGAGCCGAGTCAGTTGGACAGCACGCTTCGGCAGATGTCGCTACTCTTGCACAGGTATCCACTACCATACGTAGTTAGTAATGCGTCGAGTTCGTAGTAAGTGTTCCCTTAAGAGCAACATACTTTTTTTAATCAAAAAAATAATATATAATAAAAATAAATATTATAAATATTTCCAACACTCAGACCAATTAGCCTAGCCCCAAAGTAAGCACTGTAATTCTTGTGTAATGGGATGCTAGGGTAACGGATAGAATACATTTACTGTATACCTATACTTATATATAAGTATATTTATATAGAAATACATATTAAACATCCATGACTGGAGTACAAATGTACGAGCGTTTGTTTCTTTTTTTGTTTCAATTTCATCACAAAAAGATCTGCCCCCACCGGGATTCGAACCCGGCGTACAAACCACTCGGCCACGGAGGTCATCACAAATAAAAAAGTCTTTGTTGTTCTTAAGAGAGGAGGCACGCAATGTAAAATACATTGCATATAAACATTCTCGGCTGATACCTCCTTGATTTTTATCACTGAAGAATTTATTTTTATACATAAAGTATAAATTTCTTCCTTTTTCCGATAACTTGTGTTTCAAAGAAACTAGAAGCCCTCGAAAAAGGTCAAAAATAAACAATTTTTTATCACCACTAAAGACGTTTACTGTGGAGGTACAAAACAATGGGTCATAGGTTAACTACTTAATAGTGCTAATATTCTTTTTGTAAATTTTCTTTTACATATATCTAATTTTCGAGGAGGAAATCGTCGAGAGCCAAACCTCGATTTTTGCAATTTTTATACATAATTTTCAGCGTTAACTACTGTTGTCTCTATCACACGGTATTTGCCAATGTGTGACAGTGTGGCAACATTATATTATTTTCCACATATACTAATAAATAAACATAATATACATAATTATAAATAACATACATATCATATATAACAAAATATTATACATATTAAATATACATAATTATATTATATATAAACAAATATTCACAAAAACATTAAATTACCATATTAAATATCTATTTATAATGACGTGCCAATTTGTCGTAAGTTCGGAATGGACACGCGCACTCTAAACGAGTTCCTAGTTAAATTCTTTTGTTCGCGTAACCGACTCCTGCGCCGGCCGTTCAGTAGCCGCGCGCACCAGTCTGTATCACGATCCCACGGCGAATGCATGACTGTTTGCGCTCCGTTCGGACTACTCAAACCTATTGTTATCGCGTATGTTCTACATTATAAATAGTTGTAAGACCTGCCATTCATTATTCCAGTGTGTTACTAGCCCTTCCGTGACTGTAAAAATTGGATTAGGTAAATTAAAGTGAATATTCAAAGTGACGTGTTTGAATTGAACTAAGACTCGACGTCTACCTATATTTCATCTGCTACCTAACCATAGTGGTGACCCTATTTGGACACAGTTATCAACGCTGGTGATAAAAGTACGTAATATTTTATTAAATCAAGAATACACGTACTAAGATGGCGAACGGCAGTGGCGATGTCGAACGTGACGTCAGTGAGCGCATTTCCACAACACCATCCGACATTTTTAAAGTCGGAGTCCGAATTCCACCTTTTTGGCCGGAGGAACCGGAAATATGGTTTTCGCAAATTGAGGGACAGTTCCAGATCGCCGGAATTACTAATGACCTGACGAAATTTCATTACGTCATCGGACAACTGGATCGTCAATTTTTATGCGAGGTCAAAGACATTATTGCGAAACCTCCATCCAGTGACCGTTACGAAAAACTGAAGACGGAGCTTATTAAACGCCTTAGCGCCTCCAAGGAGAAGAAAGTGCAACAGCTTCTCATGCACGAAGAACTTGGGGACCGCAAACCTTCGCAGTTTCTCCGTCATCTCCAAAGCCTCGCTGGTCACCAGATTACGGACGATTTTCTTCGTACAATTTGGACAAGCCGCCTTCCCGGAAACATCCAGACTGTCCTGGCTGCACAACCCACCGCAGAACTGGAGACCCTTGCCGATCTCGCCGACCGCATCCACGATATCGTCCCTTCAACACCACAAGTTGCATCGACAAGCCACGACTATGGATCGAGAATGGATGCCATGGCTAGAGAAATCTCGGAATTGCGTCGCCTGATCAAAAATATGCCTACCGGAGATAGAAGACCGCGATCCCGCAGTCGTCGTCGTGATCGCCGCGACCAGTCAACTACCAGGTCCCAATCTTCGTACCGGAGATACCCTACCTGCTGGTACCACTCAAAACACGGAGACAAGGCTCACAAATGTATCAAGCCTTGTGACTACGAGAAGTCGGGAAACGCAAAGGGCAGTCGGTAATGGCGACAGCTGATAGCCCAACCTCTGGTCGCCTGTTCGTCACCGACAGAAGGTCGAAGATACAATTTTTGATAGATACTGGCAGCGATCTATGTGTCTTCCCCCGGACTCTGTTACGTGAGCGTCGTGCACCTACTTCCTACAAGCTTTGCGCGGCCAACGGGACGACCATCGACACCTACGGTTACTACCATTTAAATTTAGATTTTAATTTACGTAGATCTTACCCTTGGCGCTTTATTGTTGCTAATGTTACAAAGCCTATTGTAGGAGTAGATTTCCTAGCTTTTTATAATTTAGTTGTCGATTGTAGAAATCAAAAGCTTATAGACAATACCACTAGCCTTTCTGCTTCTGCTTTGTTTGCACCTTTTAATTGTGTGAGTTCTGTAAAAATATTGACCGGTGAATCACGCTTTCATAGCTTGCTTAATCAGGAATTTCCTGATATAACGCGACCAGCTGGCACTCACCGTAACATAACACACCACACACAACACCACATTCGTACCACACCAGGTCCGCCTGTTACAAGCACACCAAGACGACTGGCTCCAGATAAGCTGAAAGTGGCTAAGCAAGAATTTGAGGCCATGCTTGCTGATGGTACAGCGAGACCCTCTGATAGTCCCTGGTCGTCACCTCTTCACCTGGCCCCCAAAAAAGATAACGGCTGGAGGCCCTGTGGGGATTACAGACGACTCAACTCAAGGACCATCCCCGACAGATATCCAATTAGACACCTTCACGATTTTGCTTATTCTATTGCTGGCTGTAAAATATTTAGCACTATAGATCTCGTGAAGGCGTATAACCAAATTCCTGTTTGTCCAGAGGATATACCCAAGACGGCTATCACCACCCCATTTGGTATGTACGAATTCCCATTTATGACATTTGGTCTGCGCAATGCAGGCCAAACATTTCAGCGATTCGTCGATGAGATGACGCGCGGGCTGGACTTCGTATACTGCTACTGTGATGACTTTCTAGTCTTTTCTAGAAGTCAGCCGGAGCACGAACATCACTTACGGCTACTGTTTACTAGACTCAGGAAGTACGGTATGGTGATTAATGTATCCAAGTGTGTATTTGGAGTTCCCGAGGTAACCTTCCTAGGTTATCGCATTTCTGAGAGCGGTACCAAACCCTTGGACACTAAGGTAGAAGCTATCCGTAACTTCCCAGCACCAAAGACTGTCAAGCAGTTAAGAGGTTTCTTGGGCATGGCGAACTTTTATCGTCGTTTTTTGCCAAACGCAGCTCTTACCCAGGCTCCCCTCAATAAGCTTCTTACCGGTGCAGTCAAAGGTTCAACTCCCATTGATTTAAATGGCGATGCTCAGAAGGCTTTCCAAGACACCAAGGAAAGCCTACTCAATGCTGCAATGCTTGCCCACCCTGATTGCCGAGCCAAGTTAGCATTGGTGACTGATGCGTCAGACTTAGCCATGGGAGCTGTACTTCAACAGCTGATCGAAGGTAAGTGGCAGCCATTAGCGTTCTTCTCTCGGAAACTGAGCCCAGCGCAAGCGAAATACTCACCATACGATCGAGAGCTTCTCGCTATCTATGAGGCCATCAAGTACTTTCGCCACATGCTGGAGGCGAGGCACTTCACAGTGTTTACGGACCACAAACCCCTCACTTACGCTTTTAGTGATCGAAAACACAACTGTTCACCCCGCCAGCACAGACACTTGGACTATATCTCACAGTTTACGACCGACATAAAGCACATTGCCGGTAAGGACAATGTCGTTGCCGATGCTTTATCTCGCGTCGAAGCACTGGAAGCTCCAATCTGTCTAGAGGATTTGGCTCGATCGCAATCGTCTGATCCTGAACTGGCTGAGTACCTGGCTAATTCTTCTTCCATCCGCTTGCAACAAATTACCGTTCCTGGGAGTCGTACGCTTCTGTACTGCGATGTCAGTACATCGGCACCCAGGCCATTCGTTACAAAACAATTTCGCAAGCAAGTTTTTCACAGTCTTCACTCTCTTAGCCATCCAGGGGCCAATACGACTGCTCAATTAGTAGCTCAGCGATTTGTTTGGCCCGGAGTCCGAAAAGACGTCAGAGAGTGGACACGTGGTTGTCTACAGTGTCAGCGGGCAAAAGTAACACGACATGTCTCTGTGCCTATAGGTAATTTTAACCTGCCGCGAGCCAGATTTAAACATGTCCACATTGACTTAATAGGCCCTCTCCCGATTTCGAACGGCTACCGCTACTGTTTGACAGCCGTCGATCGATTTACCAGGTGGCCTGAAGTCTGTCCAATTATGGACATTACTGCTGAGACTGTAGCGAAGTCTCTTATTACCAGCTGGATATCTAGATTCGGATGTCCTATAGACATCGTTACAGATCGCGGTCGACAGTTTGAGTCCGCATTGTTCCAGTGTCTTGCGAAATTTGTAGGGTTCCAGCATAAACGCACTACTGCATATCACCCCGCATGCAACGGACTTGTCGAGCGCTTTCATAGGCAACTCAAAGCAGCTATTACTTGCCACGCCGATGTTAACTGGACAGAATCCCTTCCATTAGTGCTCCTGGGCGTCCGAACTGCTTTTAAGGATGACTTGCAGGCTTCCTCGGCTGAGTTACTGTATGGCGAGCCTCTCAGACTTCCTGGCGAATTCTTCAACCCCAGTTCAAGCGGTACCACTGACTTGTCAGATTTCACCGCAAGGCTGCGTTCCTTCGCTGAGAAATTGCAACCAATAGCAGCTTCTCGTCATCACAAGGGCAGAGTATTCATTTTCAAAGAGCTAGCCACCGCAGATCACGTCTTCCTCCGTGAAGATGCTTCGCGGGCTCCCTTTCAACCAGCATACTCTGGCCCTCATAAAGTTTTAGCACGCAATGATAAAACATTTAAAATATTTATCAAAGGTAATAAGGTAACCGTCAGCATTGATCGCCTAAAACCTGCTTTTATATTGGTGGATGACGATGATGCTGATATTTCCTCACCAAAACCAACACCGCAAAATAAATTAACAGAATCGTCACCACAAATTCCTCCAACACCTACAAATATGTATCGAACAACACGTTCTGGAAGACATGTCCGTTTTCCAGATTTTTATCGTCCCTAACCAGGCCTTTGGGGGGGAGTGATGTGGCAACATTATATTATTTTCCACATATACTAATAAATAAACATAATATACATAATTATAAATAACATACATATCATATATAACAAAATATTATACATATTAAATATACATAATTATATTATATATAAACAAATATTCACAAAAACATTAAATTACCATATTAAATATCTATTTATAATGACGTGCCAATTTGTCGTAAGTTCGGAATGGACACGCGCACTCTAAACGAGTTCCTAGTTAAATTCTTTTGTTCGCGTAACCGACTCCTGCGCCGGCCGTTCAGTAGCCGCGCGCACCAGTCTGTATCACGATCCCACGGCGAATGCATGACTGTTTGCGCTCCGTTCGGACTACTCAAACCTATTGTTATCGCGTATGTTCTACATTATAAATAGTTGTAAGACCTGCCATTCATTATTCCAGTGTGTTACTAGCCCTTCCGTGACTGTAAAAATTGGATTAGGTAAATTAAAGTGAATATTCAAAGTGACGTGTTTGAATTGAACTAAGACTCGACGTCTACCTATATTTCATCTGCTACCTAACCATAACAGCAATAGTTTTTTTAAATACCTATTTCTCAAATGCCTATCAGCTCGGGAAACTAAAGTACCTAGATACAATTGTGTATCCATCACTTCTTGTTGTTAAATTATCTCAGTACTTCACGTGGCTATTTGCTATAATAATTTGTCCTATTTGTAAACTTGACAACAATTTCTCCTTTTCATTCTCTTTGCAGAGTATGATAATGATAACCTGTTGTCAAAATGAAAAATAACAAATACGAATAGCCTAGACAACGAAAAGAATGTTTTTTGAAATTTTCCCATATTATTCTAGCAAATAACTTTATTGATATTTGTTTCTTAGTTTTTCACGCACATCACTCATTAAATAAAACTAGTTTTAACGGGTTAATGCACGAACTTTATTTATTTATTGACGTTTCGCAGCTTTCAGGGGGCCAATCGCCTAACTGGATTGCTTTGGAAAACGCTATCGCTTACGATTTCATTTTGTTATTTCTAACCGCCGAAATACCTCACGCTCATTTTCTTTAACATTGTTATTACCAATGCAAAAGAAAAAAAAAGAGCGCGAGTCATTTGAAAACCTCAGGGGGCTAGAAATAACAAAATGAAATCGTAAGCGATAGCGTTTTCCAAAGCAATCCAGTTAGGCGATTGGCCCCCAGGTCTGCATGAAAAGGCTGCGAAACGTCAATAAACGCATTAACCCGTTAAAACTAGTTTTATTTAACTTTATTAATATTACTGATTTGTTCAACTGTGTTACCAGGACGCTATGATCATGTGTTCTACTTCGTTCGCCCTGTCGTGCACTGGTGGCAGTTTTCCGCATTTAAGTGGCAAATTAAATTGAATATTATTATTAATTTGTTCCACTGTGTTACCGGGACGCTTTGATCATGTGTTCCACTTTGGTCACCCTATCGCGCACTAGCAGTGGTTTCTCACTTATTCTGGCAAAGGAATTGAATATTATTATTTATTTGTTCAACTGTGTTACCAGGACGCTTTGATCATGTGTTCCACTTTGTTCGCCCTGGCTTCCACTGGGGGTGGAGGCGCAGGCGGCGGAGAAGATCAGAAGGTAAGATAATTATCTTACATTGCAACTATTGAAATTAGAAAGAATAGCATAGTCTGATAAAAATAGCGTTTTTGAATTTGATCGTGTTTCTTGATGGTGTAAATTTGTGTGGCCAAATGATAACTAAACTTCTATTTGTAATTTAATATTACATACATACATTGCCAGGCCCTCACACTTTCGTTGACCCAGGGCACCAGGTAATTTTGTTACAATCGTCAATTGTGCGTATTTTACTTCATAGGGTTATTTTTTTGAGACGACATATTTGACTCATTGTCGGCAATTCTTGACATGAGATTTGACATGAGATCGGTACTGTGTCAGATTTGAGTTTTCGTTGGTATTCAAAAAAGGGCTCTCCGCTTTAGCTTGAAAAGATGAGTTCTTATACAGGAGCATTTAGAAAGAACGAAAATACTCCTTCGATATCAGTGATTTTGCGTTCGAAGAAAAAATCCAAAAAGGAAAAGCCAGTATCGAACATTTAATTATTGAAATCGGTGCAGTAACTAAGATCACCGTTGGCTTATATAATATTTAATTGACATAACTATGTCGCCTTGGTGAAATAGGGCCCTGATCAGACTCGATCGAAACGAAAATAAAATAGTTCAAATTCCTCCTTCCTTTTGCTGTAGAGAGAATGGGTCCTTGGGGCCCGGCTGCAAAAGTATTTCTTAAGGATATGACTGCTCGCCTGTGCGAGGCTACGGGGGACCAAGGTCTGTTAGCTTTTTTGCTCAAAGAATTAGTTTGGCGATACAGCGAGGCAACGCTGCCAGTATTCTGGGGACCGAGCCCCGCACAGGCGAACTCAATGAAATATTTAATTTGTAATTGTTGTTTTACCTTTTGTTGACATTAAGAAAGAAGATTGAACTTTTAACGTTGAATATGTTCAAATTTGACAAAAGATTTTATTTATCTTTTAAAGCTACACTATTGAATCTGTAAAGAATATAATATTTGTACAAAATTACAGCACAGAATCTGTGTACTACGCATGCGTTCTCCTTTCCTAGTAAAAAAACAGCTAAAGATTAATGTTTCCTCATCTGACTGTCAATAAAAAAAAGCTTTAAAATAATAGACTGGTATACCACCAGGTCGACGAGCTAGCACAGGAGATGCTAGCGAAACTACCACATACGATCGACGTGGAGACGACAGAGAAGATGATGGGACCAGAGATAGTAATGCCGATGTGTGTATCTTTACTTCAAGAGATCGGATATTACAATGTGCTCATAGCAACTATCACCGCGGGACTTAAGGTGACTAGATATTAGGTTAACAGTATTGACGAGGTTGACTTGCTAATACTAGAAGAAGAACTTTGTATACACCCTAGATAATGTAATAACTGTACAGAAGCGGCACAAAAATATATCTACTACATATGGTAGATACGATCGTCGCTCCACACGCACACATTGACTGCTTTAGATCAATCTGAAATAAATAACAAAGTTTAGGAATTCCATGCACACTGTTTTCTTTGGTTTAATTTTTTTTTTGCCTAAACAGTAGGACATGGAATTCCTAAACTTTGTTTAACCAGTTTTTTATATAGTCATAAATTTTATATTATTTGCATTATAATGGAAAGTGACTTAATGAGTTACCTCATATTGAAGTCATTTTTCAATTTGACGACTCTGTATATAATAGAGGGAGAAAAAAACAGCCCTTGCTGAGTTTCTTGCCGGTCCTTCTCAGTACAAGGTCTCCCGCCGTAGATTTGCGAACCGATGGCGTAGCTTTTCGACATTCACAAGTGCTTGTAACAGCCTAGACTGAATAAACGATATTATTTTTTTTTGAATTTTTTTGCGTGATTTAATTGAATTGCTCTATTTATGCGTACATATAATTAAAAAAGAGAGGTCGGTGAAGATGGTGTTCTTGGTTATAGCGATTACAATCACTGAGGAACTCAAACCCTTTATTAATAAACGCGGAATAAGATTAGACTAGTTACCCAGTGTTTTGTTCATATCACTGAAATGCAATTTGTCATTCAACGTACAGACACAAAAAATGGAGTAACTAATCCAAGCTTAATCTGCATTTATTAACAAGCGGGAACGTGACCAGATATTAGGGTTACAGACGAGTACCTATAGATCCAGGTAGATAGTCTAGCAATGGTAATAATAAAGATATTGTCGATGATGGTATCAAATGTGTAAGAATTGATGTTATGTCACAAGGACAAAATGATTACTGCGGGGCTGCAGTCTTCTACAAGAAAGAAAGATCGCGAAAGATTTGGCCATATTGAGCAGTGTAGATTGGTGGGCGCTAATGACTACATCTGCAGCTGGGACCAATGGTTTCATATGACTCCCAAGTCATGGACAACTGAAGATTATCAATTTTTGATTATCCACTCTTTTACTGTTAAGACAATTACCAATTATTTAAAAATGAAGTTTTGTTTCCGGTTCTCATTTTGGTCTCAGTGTGTAAAAAACAAAGACATTAAACTATATAAAGCCATCCACTCTGTTGTCGCCATGCATGTTGATATTTTTTTATAATAAGCTATCGTATTTTTTCTGCATGTTTTATGTTAATATGATTTTATGATAATATTTCAATGATATAATGTATTAATTGATACCTTTTTATTTGTTAGTTTTTAATTGTTTAATATATTTAGTTATTAGTTTCGTCAACCTTAGGCCCTGCAAGAATATCAGCGCTGCTGCGGCCCTGGCGTCGCTGTGGCATTATGCTGAGGCAGGGACCTAGTTGGCCTTCTTTTTTTCTGTTATTGCTTTTGTTTTGTGTAATCCTATTACTTAAGGTTAATAAAACTATTTCTTTCTTTCTTTCTTTCTATATAAAGCAAACAAATAAGATTCATATTACTGCAAGTGGTTGTCTTACAACTTCACGATCAACTTCAAATGAGCAACAACGTATCCTATTTTGAAAGAATCTTAGCTTCCACCATATGGACTATGGAGATTAATCAAATTATATATTTACATAGAATTTAATCTTCCAACACAGGAGTTACGCCGCGCCATAGAAGGCCTGGTGGTGATGTCAGAAATGTTGGAGATAATGTATTCATGCATATTTGAAGGGCGAGTGCCGTCATTTTGGCAAAAGGGTGAGCTTTGTATTTCATCAGAGCTAAAGAATTATAAAAGCATGAGTATTCCAATATGTACATTGTATTCTTTATAACAATTTACCTGAATATTTCTTTACTTCTTAATACGGTATAGTGTAGTTGCAATTTGCTCCCTAAAATTAATTCCTCCGAGATAGGTGTGAATCCTCGAAAAATAACACTACCAACATCTAATAAGTGATTTTAAACTTAATGTAATAAATATAACGTAATAAATAAATTAAATAAATAAATATTTCCAACACACACCAATTAGCCTAGCCCAAAGTAAGCACTGTAAGGCTTGTGTTATGGGATGCTAGGATAACGGATAGAATACATATACTGTATTTAAATAAGTATATTTATTTAGAAATACATATTAAACATCCATGACTGGAGTACAAATGCTCGTATTCATCACACAAACACCTGCCCCCACCGGGATTCTAACCCGGTACCTTTCAAGTCGGCGATACCATGAAACTCGGCCACGGAGGTCGTCAAATAAGGTGCCATACATAACTTTATTCACGATTGGAGTTTTTTTATCATTCATCTCAAATCTTTTCGTAATTTCATAAAACGAAATGCCAATTAATTAGATGGCTTGTAACAAAAGGTACCTTTAAAAGGAACATCTTTATTCCTCAGCTTTGTAACGTGATTTTAAAATATTAATAGTCCTTACTTTCTCATTGTAATTCTGTTCGCTCCATTCAGGATTTGTTAAGTTCAACGTAGTCTTTTCTTATCCTTCAATTTCATTTCGTACTTTCCACTGATCTACCGTTTATTCCTGATCTTCCATGTCATAACAGCTCGTCCATCCATGAAGCCATTGGGCTCATGGTGCCGAGAGTTGTTCTTGCGCGGCGCTCACCTCAGTGCGTGGGCCAATGCCCCCAGGAGCCCGCCCACTCTGTGCTGGCTACCTGCACTGGTTGCCCCCACTGGCTTCCTTACTGCCGTTATGCAGGTGAGACTGTCCTACTTAATATTAATATTGTAAATGTGAAAGTTTGTATGTTTGTGTATATGTATATTTTGTTATTCATCATCATCATCATCAGCCTATTAATGTCCCCACTGCTGGGGCACAGGCCTTCCCTATGGATGAAATAGGGAGATTGGGCCATGACCCACCACGCGGGCAAAGTGCGGATTGGTGGGTGCCAACGACTGCAGATGCAGCTGGGACTAACGGCTTAACGTGCCTTCCGAAGCACAGAGGAGCTCGAGATAGTAAATTTTTGGTCACCCATCCAATGACCGACCACTGCGATAGTTGCTTAACTTCAACGACCGCAGCCGAACGCACTAACCACTTGCGCCATCGAGCTTCTCTCCATTTTGTTATTCAATCACGCAAAAAAGGGCCGAACGGGTTTTGATGTGGTTTAGATATAGATTTAGCACTGGAAAAGGATATAGGATAGTTTATTTTTCTAAAAATCGTCCTTTCTAAAAGTTAAAACAAACCACAGGCGTACTATTCCTTAATTATTATATACCCACGGTCCACCCTGGTGTTGTTCAACAAGTTTTCAGAATCCACCCGGGTGAACTTGTTAGGTTAGGTTAGGTTAGGAAGTCGCAAGCTATAAGCCGCCATGTTTTTCTGTCGCTCCCAGTAAAATTTCATCATTCCACACAACATAAAATGTTTAATGACAGACGACAGCGCGTGGAGAAGGCTGGCCTATAGACACCCTGTGTTGGGAGTTCACGGTAATGCCTCTAGAAGAGTCCTCGTTCGTCCGTCCGCCGAGAGATGGCGGTGTTTACATCAGGTAAGTAAATCCATACTCCATACTAATATTATAATTATGAAAATGTTTGTCTGTCTGTCTTTCAATCTTTTTTGTCTGCCTATCTTTCTATCTGTGTGCCTGTTACCTTTTCACGCTTAAACCGCTTTACCGATTTAAATGAAATTTGGTACAGAGATAGTTTGAGGTCCGTGAAATGACATACGGTAGTTTCTATCCCAGATATTATCTTTTAAAGGGGTAAGTAAAGCGAAGGAATTTTGTATAGGAAACCAATTTTTCCACGCAGACGAACTCGCGGGCACACGATAGTATTACATCACTTTCATCACAATTAGGTATTGCTTATACCTCTTATGAGGTTATGAGGTTGAATAAAAAAAATATCATCTTTTGTATACTCTGTGGTCACAAAGTCGTGATGGAGGTCTTGAGACCATGGGACCTTAGTGTCCAAAATTAATGTACAAATATAGTAATTTATGTTATTTACGAGATTGATGGATAAACTGTACTTCCTGGGCCCAAGAGGTACTTAACACTTGGTTTTTTTAAATTCTTAGGATATATTTTTTTTATTATTGTAAAGCATGTTACTGCTTGATGTTTAAATCTAAAGAAAATATAACTAGAAAAAATTCCACGCGGACCAGGCAGCAGACGGGACTCGGACCGCACCCTTCGCAATCCGGGCGAATGCACTGACCAAGGTTGTTAATTGGGTGTGTTAATTTTAAATTTCTTATTATGTGTTCGTTATTATTTTGTTTATCAAGATGGCCTAAAATCTTAACTGAGGCCGCCTTTGATACAGCCAGAGGTAGAAACTAGAAACGTGAGGAAGAGCGCCGGGGGATAAAACAAAGAAAGATTATGGAAGTTATCTACTTATCGAGAAGAAGGCTTATCGAGTACTATAGAGAAAGTATAAGAAAAGGAAAGTTATATTTTTTACATTGCATGGGATGGTGACAAGCAGGCGGGCCCCGGCCCGTCCAGTTAATGGGAGGAAAGTTCACACAAGCCTAGGTTAGTGTTGTGAAAAAAAAATTCGTTAGCAGAGACCTTTTTATAAGAGCCCTTTTATAAAATTGCGCCGCTGCAGTTTAGGTAAATACGGCCGCGAGCGTGTCCGAGTCGCACGAGCGAGACATTGACGCGGCAATGTCCAGTATAGTGCGCGTATTTCTGATACCTTAGTAATTAATTTGATCTAATTTATTGAACATTATTGAGAGATTCAAGTGTTTGAAGTTGTGCATATTATTGTAGGAAGGCCAAAGGGGAAGATCTTCCTCCGAGCTGGGTGATGGTAGCTCGGGGGGGCCGCGGCCCGACTGGTGTTGTTCGGGCATCGCATATATGAAGAGTTAGCCTTCGAATTTCATTTGCGCGATGTAGGCTTCCATACTATTATGATCGCAGTGCAGGTAACGCCATCGCTTTAGGATGGTGAGTAATGATTTCCTCCATCGGTTGTTTATATGTGGGGCATTTAGATGTCGCCGCCACATTGTCGTTTTTCCCGTAAACTAGCTGCGCTAGAACGATCAGTACAAAAAAGCAAAATAGTATTTGTAAATATTCTACATTAACATTCAATAGGAAGAATAAATCTAATGTTTACTTCTATTGTGAATAGTCAAAAACAAATCTTTTCTAAGGGGGTAAATGAGGCGCTCAAAAATTACGATTTTTTGCAAAAAATGTGAAAGGGCTCTTAACAAAAAAATATCAAGTATTCATCACCTCTTGGGCCCTAGAAGTTGCTCACCTCTTTACTGGATTGTTACCATCTACTTTATTTTTAGCGAGTTTTCAATATTTCGGCAAGCGCCACGATCACGGAGTAACCTGAGTTAAATCAACAGTGCCGTAAAAAAAAATGTAATGTTATTGACCATGAAAGTTTAAAACAGTGTAATCTAATATATAAAATTCTCGTGTCGCGGTGTTTGTGGTTAAACTCCTCCGAAACGGCTTTCCTGATTCTCATGAAATTTTGTGTGCGTATTGGGTAGGTCTGAGAATCGGAGAACATCCATTTTTCATCCCTCTAAATGTTAAGGGTAATCCAACCCTATTTTTTTTCAATTTTAGATAAAAAAAATATATTTTTTATGATACATCATACAAAAATACAAAGATCCCTAAATTTTCAACTTTCTACCACCAACCCCTATTTTTTATGGCGGTACGAAGTTCGCTGGGTCAGCTAGTAATGTATAAATTCAAACAAAATCTGTCAAATGCCATTTGTCATTCAATAAACGGAGACAAAACATGAAGTAACTAATCCAATCTTATTCTTTGTTTATTAATAAGGGGGTAAATGTAACCTTTGCAAGCCCTTTAATTTATGGTTGTAACACCTCGGTTCTATCACTAATAAACCTACAGGGGCCAATACCTAGAAGGTGCTAGCTGGTACAAGAAGGACGGTTGCCTGCAAGAACCGCTGCCGATGCAGCTCGTGTTCCCGATGTCCCCGATACACTTCAAGCCTGTACGGGCCACTGGGAGGCGGCTGAGGAGTAAGTTCACTTCCCCTATCCTTTCCTAGCTTAACAGACGACAAGTCTTTACTCGGATCTTCGCTTTTATTTTCATCTGCGCAATCGAAACAGATGACAAGGTTTTGCTTTTTGGAACGTGAGGTGACCATCGAAATTAATTATAACATCATAACTGAAGTTATATTTCTACTCGAATTGAAGCGAGAGTCTAAAAATATGGTGGCCATCTAATAATATATTCCAGGTCACCATTGGACTAGGTGTCCGTCCAGGCATGTGGATTTGAATTTAGGTTTTCACTATTTTCTGCCACAGGGCATTTAATAACAGCCTGATAACAAGAACAGGTCACGACGATCCACCATGACAGAGAATAGGCTATTTGATAGAATGAATAATAATGTACTAATTGTTGGCATCTGTATTTAATAAGAATATTAGCAGCGATTTTACTATTCTGAAAGAACAAATTATTAATAAGGTTTCTAAAAAAACATTAAATAGAAATGATATTTATGCTCCATGGACGCTTGGGATTGGCTTAGACTAAAATGATGTCACACGTTAGTATACTTCCGGCCAAAGTGACATAACATTGTATCGTTTGACGTTTATATGATAGTCGTGTGACGCAACACACTAGTGAGATGCCATAATATCCAGAAAAACCTTTACGCGGCAACTTGAAAATTGAATTTTTAAATTAGTTTTTTTATACTGAATTACACAACAGTATTAAAAATAACCACTTATTATGAACTTCATAAACATTTGTAAATAACGTGATTGTTTTTTAAAACTTGCCAAATAACCTTTTTGCATTGACAAACTACTGGTGTCGATTCTGGTATGATTTTCTAAACCTAAACTAAAATTTGACAACAGTGTATGTCATTCTCTATACAGAATGAAAAGGAGAGACTGATTTTAAAATTAGTTTTAAGTTTAGTGAATCATGCCAGAATCGACACCACCCTTGGCGCATGTATATGCTCTAAGACACCACTATATTCGCACGCATTCGTAGTTGACGCTCCAGCGACATTTGCATGTAAATAGAATAATAATATTAATGGCGTTAGGGAAAGCCTTATAGTCTGTCCATTCTATTAATATCTTTTTGACAGATCGATCGAAGTAAAAATAGTGACACCCTATCACATAACTCGTTCGATTTAAAGCTACTGGTGTCGATTCTGACGTGATTCTCTAAACTTAAAACTAAATTTAACATCAGTCTCTCCTTTTCATTCTGTATAGAGAATGACAAGGATATACTGCTGTCAAATTTAAGTTTAGGTTTAGAGAATCATGCTAGAATCGACACCATAATCGATTTTATGCTAGAACATTGTTTAATCGATTATAAGTATCGAAATTATTTTAGTTATCAAAAATACTGGTGATTAATAAATTATTACAAAATCTCATTAGATTTATTATTTTACTTAGTATTTGTTCTGTGTCTGGGTGTGATTTATCTCCAATATGTATATATATAATAAAAAAGCAGTATACTTTTTATATGTTTGTTTATCCTAATACTCTGTACAATTAGATTTATTGATTATAATTAAAAGTTTCATTTAAAAAAAAGTTTATAAAAAACTATATCTTTTAATAGGCTAGTTGACTCATGTCGAATTGTATTAAATAAACGTTTATTTCTTAAAGTATTTGGTCTAAAGAACCTAAATATATCGATTTCACTTCATAAAAGCAGAAGATTGCTGTAGAAATTTAATTTAAAAAAATAATTTTTAGTATATACTTTTTAAACACTTAAAATGCTGTTCGCCACATCCGCCATGATTGTGACGTCTCTTTTAGTAAACAACTAAATGTCATTCATACATAACTCTAAAACTTGTATTATTAAAACTGATAGTAAATGAAGAGACTTAAAATATTATTCAATGAGTACAGTGATCTTCGCAAAAATAAATTTTACTATGAGTCGATAAAGTTGCAGGATCACTTTTAGCACAGCTTTCCTGGAGTCTTCAAGGATGTGTTTTTACATTCTCGTACAATACAATAATGATAATTGCTATATTTTTCGTGGTATCTATTAGAAATCATGTTTTTTATTATTATCAACTCAGATAGGTTATTTTCTACGTGCTTACGAGTTTTTGTTTACTACCGCCGACGTCATAGCATAGATAATCTATAGACTAAAATAGCCGACAGCGTTTTTGTATGTCCATGAAAAGTTTATTTTAAAATTGAAGATTTGTAGCTTTCTAGGGCTCAAAAAAATACAATACATTTTTTTTCGGTCTAATAAAACATTTAGCCTATTTTTTCCTTACAATTTGGTTGTACTCATTTATTTCTACCGATTATTTGTAATCTGTGACACAATCTTAGTAATCATTATGTGTGGCACATCACTAAGTGGGCGGGCGGTACCCGTCTATGAAGTACAATATTATTTGAATGACATTTTAACATAAACAATAAAAAATTTCATGGGCGTCTATCTGTCAAAAAAAATAATAATGGAATGGACAGACTATATAGTCTGTATATCATAAAAATTAATAGGTCAGTATTTCATTAGTGTGCAATATTTAAAACAATTGTTTTATTACAGACCGCTACGTCTGTCCTTGTTACTACTACCCGTTGCGTATGGGCGCCTTCGTGGTCGCCGTAGACCTCCACTCGGGCAAGGAGAGCTCGGACTTCTGGGTCAAGAGAGGCACCGCTTTGCTCTGTACCCTGGCGGCCTAACAACAGGATATAGGAAGCTGCCCACATAACGAGATGAGGATGTGATAATGTTGATTTATAAGTTATTTCCCAATAATATATAATAAATAGTTAATTTATTACAATAGCATTTTTATTATGTCATTTCATAGAGTAGCGCTGCTTGAGGCAGATCTCAATCGCACGGGCGGGTCCCATCATGGGGTACGCTTGAATAGCTATCTTCGTGCTTTTGTCTGCGTCACCTCTTGGCTATATAGAACTACCAACATAAATAATCCATTGTAGACTGTTCAACGATAACGACTGTTAGCGATAGAATCAGGGCCGGATTTAGAGGTCCAGAGGCCTCGGGGTAACAGAGGAGCGGAGGACCCCTCACCCCAAATTATTTTCCAAATAAAGTAAACAATTTTTTTGGAAGTGCTTATCAGGGCCATTTGAGATTTTGATATTTCACTGATTGCCTGATTGGAGTGAACAAATATAGATCAATGATTTCTGTTATTTAAGATTAATATAATCAAATGTTAGATGTACAAAGTACCGTAGGCTGTAGGTAAAGGTAAAAGAGCAAAAAAAATATCAAAGGAAAAGATGTTTACTAGTGTTTACTAGTTGGAATTTGAAAGATTTTTTTTCCGAAGTCTCTATTGTGGGGGCCCCCCGTTTGTGGAGGCCCCGGGGCTTTCGCCCCGGTTGCCCTCCCCTAAATCCGGCAGTGGATAGAATTAGAAATGAGGAAATCCGTAGGAGAGCCAAAGTTACCGATATCGCTCGAACGATTGCTCTGCTGAAGTGGCAGTGGCCATTTTGGAATAGCGACCACGCACCGGACGACGCTCAGTGGGCAGGCCCCCTACAAGGTGGACCGACGATCTTGTGAAGGTCGCGGGAAGCCGATGGATGCGAGTGGCGCAGGACCGATCGGTGTGGAGATGCTTGGGGGAGGCCTATGCTCAGCAGTGGGCGTCGTGCGGCTGACATGATGATGATGATCAGTGGCGGGGTTAGACCACATGTGGACGTCGGCGACATCAAGATCGCGAGGCCTATTTTACTTCGCAGTAAAAAACCGTTAAATTGTGTGAGCCAAATTATACAATAACGTATGAGTAAACGAGTTTTATTGTTGATAATCAAATGATGACAAAAAATAATTACAAACAGAAATTTAATTACAAAAATAATGTTGCCAGACAGACGATTCTGAATACCTGTAAAGTACTACTCGCTTCCATCACGCACGTGTTCGAAAATAATAAAAGTCATTATCATCTGCTTAGCTTTTTCCCCGAATTGTTCGGGGTCAGCTACCTAAGCCAGACCAGGAGAAACGAAAATAAATAGGTAACTAGAAATATTTTTTTGCGAGGCCCCCTCAGGCGCGAGGCCGTCGGTGGCCGACGTCGCCGACGCCTAGCGCCGCCACTGATGATGATGAGACTGTTCAACCGCGCGATCAAAATGGTACTGGCAGCGCTTCGAGAGGCGACAGGCAGGAGTGTCCAGCGTTGTGATTCTGGAGGCGGGAGAGTCCAGCGTCGTGATGGAAAAGGTGGGAGAGTCCGGCATGTGTTTTTTTCGCACGTATATATGTAAATCGGATGATAATGCTAAAAGAATTACTTGAACTGAATAAAATAAGCCATTTATGGATTTAACTAGCGGCCCGCCCTCTCTTCGCTTCGGTGTAGAGCTGAAGTGTAGACTACAGTTTTTGTTCTCAGGCTTGTATTATACACAATGACATTCATCTATGATTCTTCTTATACCTGCATGCAAAGTCTCAGCCCGATCGGTTTAAAATTGACAAAGTTTCATACAAACTTTCATTCCCTATTTTATCCCCTTGGGGGTAGAATTGATCAAAATCCTTTCTTAGCGGATGCCTACGTCATAACATCTACCTGCATGCCAAAGGACAATGGGCAAAACACACCCAGCTCCGCCAACAATGTAATAAGTATGAATCGATAGATCTGTGAAAAACTAGCCTTTTTTATTATGACATCGTAAAAAAATATCATGGTACTCAAAAGATATGACACATTGAAATCACTTTAATTTTAAGTAGCTATAAATTCACTTTATAGTCCCTTCATTTTATATTATTAGTAACCATCATAATATGCCATATCGTACTATATAACCAGTTATACGACAAAGCCTGCCGACCATTCTGCGCTTGCACTCACTGAGCCACCTCAAAACGGTTTACGGGATGAAGGACTTGCAGTTGCAAATAGTCGACTCAGTGTGACCAGATTAAATTTTACGAAAATACCGAGGCACCTCAAAAAAATACTGAAATATACCGACTTACACAGATATACCAATAAAAATACTGATTTTCTTAACACGTTTTTAGAGTTATATTTTAACATCCTTTTCGAAGGATTAAAATTTACACAACCTCCTTCATTTCTTCACGCTCTATCTAATAGAGCAAACCATTAAAATCGGTCCAGCAGTTGTAAAGTTTTAGGCGAACATACATTCTGCAAGTCTGATTAATACTATGTGTTGATTGATAATTGTATATGTAGTATTACAATACTACAACGCCGACAACGGCCGTCTTTCTTGTCATATCTGTAACTTACTCATAGATAACGTGTATAAGTATAGGTAAACTAGATCCGGGGAAGTCCCCAATGTTCGCGTTCCGGGGAATTCCGCAAACATTGTCGCAAAGACGATCCCTCACTACGGTGTTGCCATAACTTCTACCAAAATATACCCAAAAATACTGACTGCCAGCAATATACCTGAAAATATACTGATGTTCAGAAAAATCGATGAAATATACTGAAAAAGTATTAAAATACTGAATCTGGTCACACTGAGTCGACTCGTCTTACTTCGTTGTGATTGTGCTGTGCGAAGTGACAGGAAACTTGATTAATTTTTATCTAACACGCTTTGGATATTGGAACACGATTATCGGTTTTGTAAATTAGTATGGATGAACTGGAATCATGTTTTCTTCGAAGAGTGGACAAGTTTGTGTGATTTGTGGTCACTCCGTTTTTCATAGAATACAATTTACTATAATGAACAGCCTGTTTGAAAAAACCCCAACCCATGCGGAGATTTTTGGATTTACTCTAGCGCGGCAGAATAACACAAGGGCCCTTGCACCTTGTGGAGTACTCCCATAATACCTGAGCCCTTTATGTGGGGTCGAACTAACTAAATTAATTCCCTTATTTTATTAATGTTCGTTCTTATAGGTAGTACTTGTACTTAAAATAACTAAAGACCCCCGGGATGGAATTTGATGCGCTTTGTCACATATGATCATGACTAATACCTTTCAAACAAATGTAATTTAAGCCGTGTCGGACGTGGGTACATCGTCCATACATTTTTGCCCAATGACCTTTCAGCCTGATCCGTCCAGTGGTTTGGGTTGTGCGTTGATAGATCACTATGTGAGTTTTATATATATAGAAATTATCGTAGTTAAAAAATAATACATCATTACTTCATAATTAAACATTTATTTACAACTTATAAACAACTTATATGTAATACAATCTCAATCTTTGTATCGAAAATAATTATTATGCGAACAGGCAATCATCATTCTAAGTACATTACCTTAAAATAATAAATTAAATTGTAAATTGTAACTATATAAAATTTACCCTTACTAACATAAGTACTACTTAACTACTTACGTTTAAATTAATCATTACTTTAATATGACCTAATACAGTGACTTATTTTATGGCACTCTTAATGCGGTCGTAAATAAGAAAAAAATATCGTTAAATACTTGATTTATTCAAAAAAGAATGTCATAATTTAGAAATGCTACAAGTGATCAATTTCATCTCGACATAATTATGGGATTTAAATTTACAAATAAAAAGTACTTACCTAATAACTTTAGTCTTTTACACATTAAAGACTATGCCAGAAATAACACTTTCAGTTTGAATATAGTGTACATAATTTGGTGCTTAATTAAATAAAATATCTTTTTTATTTAGCACCATTTCTTAATACACTATTGGATAAAAAAGAACAGTATCATTTCATTTACTTATGGAAACTGTATTGGAAGTTCATGAATTAAAAATAGTATTTCAAATAAAGATTCTGTCTTTATTTATATATTAAAAACCATATTCACATGCATTCCAAAATCGTGAATAAATTCTATAAAACTAAGAATGAGGAGCTCGATGACGCAAGTGGTTAGCGCGTTCGGCTGCGATCGTTGAAGTTAAGCAACTTTCGCAGTGGTCGGTCATTGGATGGGTGACCAAAAATTTACTATCTCGAGCTCCTCCGTGCTTCGGAAGGCACGTTAAGCCGTTGGTCCCGGCTGCATCTGCAGTCGTTAGCACCCACCAATCCGCACTGGGTCCGCGCGGTGGGTCATGGCCCAATCTCCCTATTCCATCCATAGGGAAGGCCTGTGCCCCAGCAATGGGGACATTAATAGGCTGATGATGATGAAGAATGTAAAACGCCTATTTCTGGTGGCATCGGATAATAAGTTTAAATATCCATCGTGTTAGTAATCAACAGAGTAAACAAAAATTTAATGTTGATGAACCCATTCATCATTTACACATTACTTAAGAAACATGTCATTTCATACAGGTTATAGGATACGTACGAAGAATATCCGCTATTGACCAGCAAGATAAATAAAACTTTATAAACAGACTCTTGGAAAAAGATTCTCGGAAACGCAATTCTTTGAACGTCTGCGTCGACATACAGTCTTGTTTCTTACCAAAAGTCTCAGAATCCAAAGAGAAATAAAACAAAGAATTTCCGACCAAATGGCGATAAGCGAGTACTTACTGCACTTTTAAGTATTGTTTAATTTTAAACCATTAAGACAACTAAGTGTTGATCTTTAATTGAGTACAGTTAGAAAGGGATGTCGCTATGTGCTATATATAGCGACATCCCTTTCTAACTGTGCTCAAGACTAGATCAATCACTGAGAATCTTTCTCTTATACGGGCCTAAGTATGTGGAAAATAGATATCCTTGATCTAAGCTTAGAAAAGCATCTCTTTTCATATTTAGGGTCTTCCCAATAAACTTTTCTCTAAATTAGCTTCTGTTTTAGATAAGTATCGTGAAAAAAAAT